TTTTTTTGAAAACATTAATTGATCTTTTACGTGTAGTTTCGTCAAATGGTGAAGCAGATGACGAAGTAATTATCATATTACATCTGTCAAATTCGACTGCTTCACAAGTAAAAGGAAAGCAGTCAATTACTTTCTTTTTCAATAGTTTCGTTACAAAAGCTTTTTTTTATCTTTTGCACAAACACTTTATTTCTCATACACAGTGTTAGTTTGTTCATTGCCAGCAGAAAATACACTATTCACAAACTTCACAATTGCGAGTCACTGCTTATATTTATACTAATATCTAAAATTACTCACAAAGTAACACGCTATCCTCTACTTCTCCTCTACTTTTGTCAGCTGTTACAAAACACCTCTTAAGGACTAACAACCTGACTGTTCTGTACTACCACAGCCCAGGAATGGAAAACATTAAGGCGGATCAAGTCAGCCGCAGGCAAATCTTTTTCTAAACAAATGGACACTCCCAAGAAGATGGTTAAAGTCAAAAGAGCGCCTTTGGGAGAGCCGAAAGACGCAATACGACTCATCCCTTGCTTTAAAAGGTTCTTTCAAAAAAGAAGGCAGTCCTACCCATAAATAATGCAAAAATAGAACAACTATTTCCAATTATAGAAATATCATTATGCAGTCTCTTCTTCTTTTTTACGCTAAAGACTCTTGGAATGAAAATACTCTACCCAGGCATTTCCCGCCATCCCTCAAAAAACCAATGGTTCTTGGTGACAAATAACTCTACCTATGTTATTGGTATTGTTGAAAATGTATTACTCAACTTACATTGGGGACCACGGCTGGTTACTATGCAGGATGTTGAATTACCAGCAGAATTAGAAAAGGAACGAAGTTCACAAGATCCTGCTATTACCTCAGCCCGCGAGGAATGTCCTTTCTTTGGTGGCCTACGATACGGGCCTGACCTACTGAGAGCTATTTTTGCAAATGGCACCAAGGAACTCGACCTTATATATCATAGCAGCACCTTGGATCAATACACACTCACAATCACTCTAGTAGATCGTGTTTATGACTACTTAAAAATTGAATTAGAATACATACTTGACATTGAAAACGATATGATTATTCGCGGCGCTATTTTGTCTGGCACCAATGACCCTGAAAAATGTTTTTATTTTACCAAGTCGCAAACAGCAGCCTGGCATCTGGGTCCTCCTGCTCATGGAACGCATCGAGAGCTGGTGACGTTGGCAGGCGCTTGGTCGAGTGAAATGCAGGTTCAGACACACTCGATGAAACCAGGAACGTCGCACGTCCTTAACTCTGTCCGAGGCATACCTTCTGCACAAGCATACCCTTATTTTGCAATCAGGGATCATGCCAAGGATGGTGAACATACAGACTGTGAGGTTTATTTTGGAACGCTTGGATGGAGCGGAAACTGGTCTATAGAAATATCTACAGATATAGAGAGCAAAACGAGGATTATAGGCGGCTGGCATGATAGAGAGCCCAAGATCAAAGTCAATAGCAAACTGGCTCTTCCTCTCTTTGTTGCCGGTTTCGCGCCGGATGGCCTCTCTGGAGCACGTAGAAGGCTTACTCGCCATATACGTAGAGAAAGAGAACAACATTTAAGCGAAGAGAACATTCTCTCGCCTGTCTTGTACAACGGTTGGGAAGCCTGTGGGTTTGGTGTCAACATTAAAAACCAGATGGACATGGCATCCAAAGCAGCCAAATTGGGCGCTGAGCTCTTTGTTTTGGATGATGGTTGGTTCAAAGGAAGACACTTGGACGACGCTGGCTTAGGAGATTGGTATGTGGATCAAACCAAGTTCCCCGAAGGTCTCAAACCTCTGTCAGACCACGTACACAAACTGGGTATGAAGTTCGGTTTATGGTTTGAGCCCGAGATGGTCAATCCTGATTCTGATTTGTACCGTCAACATCCTGACTGGGTCTACCATTACACAGAGCGACCACGCCATTTGGAAAGAAACCAGCTTGTGTTAAATATCACTCGAAAAGATGTGCGGGAATATATTTTAAAGCGTATGCGTGATATCATAAAAAGGGCTAACATAGACTTTATCAAGTGGGACATGAATCGGCCAATCTCTGAGGCAAACGGAGATGGAGTCGTATCGTGGATTATGCATCCCAGGTTTGTACATTCTATGATGGAAAAGCTGAAGCAAGAGTTTAAACACTTGCGGATCGAGACATGTGCCTCTGGAGGAGGACGCGCAGATTTGTCTATGCTCAAAATAACTAACTTGTGCTGGCCAAGCGATAACACTAGACCAGATGCACGGCTCAAGATACAGTACGGTGCTTCATTTGTGATGCCTCCAAATATGATGAGCTGTTGGGTAACTGATATGCCAAACGACGATGTGTATTGCATTTTCCCCATTTCCTACCGCTTCCACGTGTCCTTTATGGGGGCTTTAGGTATTGGCTCCGACTTGACAAAGCTAAGTGAGGCTGAACTTGAACTCTATCGAGGCTGGATTGAGCTGTACAAGACAATAAGGCCCATTCAACAAAAGGGAGACTTGGAATTTCTGGTTCCTCCAGATTCAAACAAAACTCAACCTGTCATCACTCAAACAACAGCTGGAGAAGGAAATGCCTCAGTTGTCTTGGCATTCAGAGAGTCTAGTCCGTTCTGGTTACCAATTGGCCCTATTCGGTTAAGAAATTTGAAGAAATTGTGCGTCTATCACGTTCAGATCTGGGAAGACAACCCTTTTGTTCCTGTTTTCACGGGCGATATGACAGGGAGTTCTCTTATGGCTAAGGGGCTCCCGTTACCTTATTTAACTTCAAAGGCGTATAGTAGCGTGGTCATCCTGTTACAGATAAAGATTCAATAAACTCTCCCTCTTTATTAATTATGCCTTAGTCATACAATAGTAGAAACACTTTATTTTTAATAAATATTATCTTGCTCTGGATGAAAAATAAGCTTGCTGAGGATGATGTGATTCTAATGGCATACTATCTATTGTTTTGAAAGATATAAAGTTGCGTATATTAGAACCGGGAATAGATTCTGCATGGACTGTTTGTTTTGGCGGAGACTTTTTATGTTGATTGTGGCTGTGGTGATGGCTATAATAGCATGTGCTGTCAGATAGCTTTGGAGAGAGGTTATATTTTGGTAATTGAAACCATGATGAAGTAGATTGCGGCGTAAGTTGAGGGGCATACATGTTATCTTCTTTATGAGGAGAAAATGCCATGGATTGCGTATTGTTCTTGTTGGTATTAGTTGTTGTTATAGTATTAGTATGGGTATTATTAGGAGGACTAGTAGTACTTGTTGTTGTAGTTGTAGTATTAGCAGTAGCTGTAAATTGTGCACCTTCCGTAAAATTAAGTTCATGCGTTGGATGATACATGGATGAGCATTGAAAGGACGAAAGGGTAGGCGATACTATATTTGTGGATGCTGCTGTTGTCATATGTGGGCTATAAAGAAAATAAGTGTCAGGCATTATGGAGAATATATTATATCACTTGCCTAGAATCTTTATAATTGAAAAATGGAGTTACATGAGATTTTGAACTTGCTCTACTTGGGGTAGACGCATCTAAATGTGGCATATAATAGAAAAAAAGAAGAAGAGGGAGAAAGAGGGAAGGAGGGAAGGAGGAAAAGGGAAAGAAGAGTTAGATGACAGATTATATGATAAGCACAAGACGAAAATGTACCTTTATTAGTATTGTCATAATATGATCGATGTATTTTTCTAGATGAAGGGTCTAGGTCTCCTGAGGACACACGTCTTCGCGAATAATCTGAGAATGGTAAAATTAAAAAAAAAAGTTAATAATTTTGTTCTATTTTACTCCCTATGTACCATACATCCTGAATAGGCGTCCATGTAAGGATGGGAGCTTTCCATGTAGAAAACAGATGATCTTCTTCGGGATACTGCCGAGGAATCATTAGAGGAGATAGAAAGTCGCTTGTTAAAAGGTTCTGGATACTCCAAGGACAGAGGAATTCGAAAATTCTGTTGCATAAACAAATCAGGAGAAATCTGGACTGAAGCGATTTCGGGGATAGAAGAAGGCGTCGCTAATTTACCGTTGAGCACATCCTCTTTTGTGTAATAACTAATCAAGTGCTGAGAAGAACCGTTCACTTGTATGCTGAGAGTCTTTTTTATCAGTCCACCCTTCTTGAACTTGTAAGTATCTGTTAATGAACCCACCAGGGCTCGTTCTCGGTCGCTTGTCTTGTATTCATCTGCGTAGAGACGGTTGTTGGACATGGACGACAGGTTTGAGGCTTTTTCGTCTAATAGTTCGCGGCCATCAAGTTCTCGATAGATTAAAAAATTCCCTAAAATACGTGATGGACTCCAGACAAGGCCATCAGTCCATCGCTTGATGCCTGTGTTTAAAAGTTTAATATCTATATTTCCTTGGCTCTGTGATTATTTTCGATGTACCTGACTCTTTTTCATCAAAGACAAAGACGGTCCCGGACTTTACTGCACCCCTTTCTCTTTCTTGTAGCCTTCGATTGATCTTAGGTAGAATGCCCTGTCGACAAGCTTCGAATATGAGTAAGGTGTCTGTCGTTGTTTCAATAAATCCATGAAATGTTTCTGTTATAGGCATAATTTATTATAGAAAAAAAAAAAGAAGGAGCAATGTATACTATGTCTTGGAACGAGTGTAACTTTTTTCTATGAGAGAAAAGTAACAATATATATATATATAAAAGAAAGACACTAGAGAAGTAAAGAGAAGATGATTATAGATATTTATATACATTTGCATTTCCGAGCGGAGATATGCAGGAGGAAGATATATTTGGTTCCTTAGAAACAGCTGCCATGGAAAAAACGAACGATAAAGACATAATAGTAAAATTAAAAAATAAAATAGAAAAGGGATTTCTCGAGAGAATGGTATATCTGTGCGTGTGCGTCTAGACGTGATGACTATACTCCCTAAAGCATAAAGTATGCCATAAAATCGTTTTAATTTTTTGACACAAACTGTTCTATTGCCCCTTATTTTATTTTTATTTACAAACTTATACACACGTATGCACAATATTTGTTACTTCTTACTCCTTGTTCAACTATAAAACAAGCTTTGATCTATTCCCAGCATCAATGTTACAAGATCAGGGGAGAAAACATTTGAAAAAAATGTGCCATTGTTACCTTTTTGGGAACATACTATTTTCTGTCATATATTTAGAGAGTAGCTCCTTGTTGCATAAAAAAGAAAGAAAATATGTGTTTGCGTGCTTCGCATCAAAAAGAGGGGGAAGCATTATTTATTTTAATTATTGACAGCTGCGGATAGCCCTTATTGACACACTCACGCACACATACATAAACACATTTATAGTAAAGAAAAAAGAGATCAAAAATTAAAGTAATGCTTAATTGTTTACATATTGTAATATAAAACTGCCTTATTTATTATCAAATATATATATATAAAAAAGGGGGAAAACGCTTCTTTTAGCAAGCGCAGTAATCATAACCAGCATCTTGTTTATTCTCTTGTTCTATTCGAACACTTGAATTAGGTGCTATATTCTTCTGCCATAGACTAGGCGTTTCTATAATCTAATCCAAAAAAGTCACACTTTGTTCTTTCTGCATAATATTCTTCTGTTTTTACCTTTTCTACTAATTCTTCAAATGCTTGTCTTACGCCAACCTTTGTCTTTGCACTACACTCAACAAAGAGTGTTTGTAACTTTCTTGCAAAGTTTAGCCCTTCTTCATAAGATACAACTCTAGCAGATTCCTAATGAACAATAGAATTAACACCTTTTAATAATCACATGTTCATGTGTACCTTATCCACTTTATTTCCAACAATCATCTTTACTACGTCAGGTGTTGAACAATACGTATTGACCTCATTCCACCAATTACTAAGCGCATCAAATGTCTCTCGATTGCTAACATCATACACTTGTAATACATATTCTCATTAGTATATACATATATGTGTATATATATTATATGAAATCAAATACCTAATATAACACCTTGAGCTCCACGATAATAAGATGACGTTAAGGTCCTAAACCTTTCTTGTCCAGCAGTATCCTATTGAATCACCCTTTATTAGTTATATCATGGTATATAAGCAATGGCTTCTTTAATACCCAAATAGTCAGTTTGTATGTTTTACCATTGACTTCCATCATGCTTACTTTAAAATCAACACCTAAATTCGACATTCAAAAAGGGTTCAGTAATGAGTATTTTTTTATGCATAAATAATAAATAAAAGCTATACCAATAGTTGCAGATACCTCTTCTTGTGGTAAGAAAGTATCGTCTGTGAACCGTAACAGTAGTGAACTCTTTCCAACGTTGGAATTACCAATAAGTAACAGTTTTAAAGTAGGAATTTGTTGTTGAGACATTGCTTTATAATGATAATAATAATAGTGTAGACAAATATAAAATTATTGTAATTCGCCTCTTCTTCCTCTTCCTTGATTCACGTGATAGCTACGTCACTTGAGAGGTCATTCTCGGATGAATATTTAAGCGTATAATGTAAATGAGGATAGTTCAGTTAAAGAGAAGTGAAGGGATGATAATGATGATGATGGTGATGCTGTGTGCATTTGACATAGCTTATTAATACTTTTTATATAAAGCTAATACTATACCAAGTGAAATGATGTGACTTTTTTGTATGCGCTTTGTTAAACAACCTGTATAAACAAATCATATACGAGTTGACAAGTATATAATCATTAGAGTACAATTGAAATATAAAATGGTTAATTTGAATATTTTATTAAAAGTTCTATGTACACGGAGCTCTTCTTTTTTAGAAGAAATAATGAGAAAAGAATGCGATACAAATGAATATAAAATATGACGTATATATCTCTTTAAGCAGCAATCATACTTTGCTGTTGTTGTTCTCTCTTCTTTTTAGAGGCCATAAAGGCAGCACGCATTTTGAAATAGTCTTTATGAAGACCACATTCAGTCTTTTGTTTATCAGACCAACGGCCAGAACGTTCGTCGCCATTGACAGGGGCCTTTGTGGAATGCCAATCACCAATAGATCTGTAGCCTTGATCTACTAATGCATTGTATGGAACTTCATTAGCACGAATATAAGACCAGACTTGTTGGAAATCCCAGTATGCAAGTGGATTGAGTTTGATTAGACCAGTAGAGTCAACCTCGAGAATAGGAATTGCTTCACGGTCACCTTTTTGACTACGACGACGACCAGTGATGACAGATTTGACATTGAGTTCCTCATAGGCTCGACGCGCTGGTTCTACTTTAACAAGATAGTCATAGGCATCTTCATCTGTTTCCCAAAGCTTTTGACCATATTCTCTTTCAAAATCAATGGATGTATTGCAATTCATTGGTTTGAATGTCTTTAAAGGGACCGAGTATGTTTCTTCACAACGCTTGGCAACATCCAGTGTTTCTTTAAAATGATAAAGTGTGTCCAAGAAGATGAGAGGTACGATATGTGATTGATTACGATCGATGCTGATCTTGTTGATCATATCCAAGGTAGCAAGGCCAGTTAAGCCAAATGCAGTTGTCTGATAGAGATTAGGTAAACAATCAATAGCCCACTCGAGTATTTCCTTTGGTTCGAGTGTAGAAAGATAATGATTCAATTGTTCAAGTCTTTCAGGAGACAAATCCTTGCCAGATTGAATCTTGGTTGTAAAAGTAGAAGAAGGCATTTGTTTGTATATAAAAAATGAGAGAGAATAAAGAAAGAAAAAGAAAAGAGTCGCCACTTTCTCTCTCTCTTTTTATATAAAACAAAACTCTGCTCTTTTGTCCTTTCGATCTCACTCTTTCTATGTGCTCTTAACCCACTTCAAGCCCATTTTAGGAAACTAAAACTTATACTGAGATGAACAATTTAGCCAATTATATTAAGCTGAAATGGCGAAATTAATGAGTTATCATCGTCAACAAGACGTTATCCTATCCATTTGTTTTGTATGTTGATTACTCAGCTCTCTGCTTTTTTACTTTCCCCCTCCCATTTCTTAATAATCCTTGAAATGCGTTATGTCATCTGCCCTTCTTTTCTCTTTAATGGGTCGTACAGATTCTATTTTACGCGGGCTTATCTTATCTTTTCATCCAATTGATAAACGCAATATTCGTAATATTTAATTATTGGGCTTACGTGTGAGGGCCATCTTGTTAAGAGTCAATATCTTTTGATTGGGCTTTATTATATTGAAGATGATGTCGAATGGGAAAGCATTACTATTGGTTGATAGGATATCAATAAATACATTTGAACGTCATGTCTATTAATGACTATTATTTCTTGGATAGCCTTAGTAGATTTCCATTTAATTCTATGATGTTGGCCTTGATTAATAATTGCACAACATCTGACAAATGATGTCTCTTTTCAGTAACAGAGGGGAATTCCTATTGAATACATAAGAAATCAATCTCTATATGTCAGTCATTATTGAACTTACTCGCTTCAATGTATCAATTGGTATACATTCATTCGAGTTCATTGATATCAGTTCTAGTACTCGAGCCGCTGTCTTGGCATATCCATAATGCAATAAAGCCTTACAGAGCTTATTTATCTGCTGAATGTAAATTTCATTTTGTTCTATTCCTTTTGGTTCACTTCTTGATGATTTCTCTACTTCTAATGCTTCAAGATATACCTTACACTCTCTCTTGCAGTCCTCTATTGTTGATGATGTAGGCTTAATATGTTCCAATTTACTCATAATACTCTGCACGTATTCTAATTGATGCTGATATTGTGAGATTGAACCCACATTTACAACATTTGATTGCGCGGTTAATTCTGCACTTCTTTCCTTTTCTTCATATGCTGTTTTCTTTGCATTCAAAGTATTTTCTAACCTTATCAATTCATTCTCCAATTCTATTTTATGTCTGTTCTCATGCATCTTGCTACCCTTTGCTTGCTTTTCACCTATCTCTCGTTGAATTTCTTCAACCTCCATTTCCTCTCTAAAGCAGAGTTGATCTCTTTCACTTATTGTCTCCATCAACTTTTTGATCTCTCTTTCAAGCTCTTCAGGCTGATTGGCTGATGATCCATGTGTACTAGATATCGCTTTCGATTCTGTTGCTCTTTTTTCTTCCCTTTCTAACTCATTGATCAGGTCTTCCAGTGCCATTTTCTGCTTCTTTAACTGAAGTGATAAATCCTTCTCTTCATTCTCTTGCTTTAGTATATACAGACGTATCTCTGACAAACGCTTTTCCATTTCTGGTATAAGACTCGGTGTAATAAACTGTCGTGCATGCTCAACATCGCTCTCTAAAAGAAGCTCAGAGTGCTAAAAAGAGAGAGAGAGAAAAACTGTCAATTACGGTCCAACTGTTATGTATATATATATATATATATATATATATATATTTTACTCTTTTATATTTAATCAATTCACATGGACCATTAAACGAATCGATTGTTGATCCAAGTGTTGAAATAGTGGACTGTAACTAAATCGTCAATGATTAGCAACATTATAGGATCCTTTGAGCATCGATCTTACAGTATTTAATGTTACATCTAAGCATTGAACTGATCCTTCAAGATTCTCTCTCATGTTGTAAGGCTTTTGCCAGACATGCTTATTTTCAGATTCATTAGACATGAAAGATAACTGTCAAAAATAAAAGAACCGAAATTGCAGTGAAATATGAAGATTGTTGCAGGAAAGAGTAAGCGAGGAAGTATGTGAGTTGTGTGACTTTTGATGGGTTCAATTTTTACTGACAACTTATTGCATTGTTAGTTAAATATAATGATATATGAATATAAATATTCATACTTTTTGTAGTTTTCTGTATGTATGTTTTAATTCGTGAACCCATAAAGAAAGAAAAAGCAGAGGATCATAGAAGATATTTGTAGTAATAATAAAAAAAGGGTACAATCTACTCACTCTACTCACGCAATCTGTTGAACGATGATTCTTACAGAATTCACGGTATGCTCTCATTGGTTGTAGGGCATAATCACATTTCCAAGCATTTGCATCTTTATTCTTAATAATCTAATCGTTTTCTTAGGGGCCACCACACTCTCGACTCTTCGAAATTTGAATAGCAGTGGTTATTACTATATTTAGTAATAATATTTCTTATAGAAATGTCTACTCGAATATACTCTTTAACATCAATACCTTTGCGCACATATAAGCGAGATTAATCATTACTGAAAAATAGTATATTCGAGTAGACATTTCTATAAGAAATATTATTACTAAATATAGTAATAACCACTGCTATTCAAATTTCGAAGAGTCGAGAGTGTGGTGGCTCCTAAGACCCGTTTAATACTGTCAACTCCATCCAACGATAGGTCTGGAACCAAGACATCAACGCAGCATTGAACATTCGATCGATTCTTGCAGATTATGTTAATAATAACTGTAATATTAGATTAAGGAATGCTGCATTTAATAGAGTGCTTTAACTAGCACTATTAAACATCCAGTTGCTTTGGCCTTTTGTACTTGTAAGTATTTTATTCTGATTCGAAAAGAAAATACTAACGTCATCATTATTTTATCCAATCAAAAAATTCTGGGGTGATTTAAGTGAGTGCAAATATTAAAGCACTCATTGATTTTGGAATAAAGATTGAATTTCCGCTGTGTAAGAAAAATTGTTTGCTAGGGGCCTATATTCTTTCTTTTTTTTTTTCCTCAGACTATCAAGTGAGTTTTTACAAGTACATCAATTCTTCCATTTTCTCATTTTTCTCATTTTCTGTAGTTGCAATAAATTATAAAAATGGGTGGAGGTGCTGCAAAGACTTATATGGGATGGTAAGATCAACAATTACATACACATTCCTGCAGTAAACTCAAAAGGTTTTTTTTATTAGGTGGGGAAACATGGGTGGACCTACTCAAAGAGTAAATTAACAATCATATTCATCAATGCGACATTTCATGCTGACTTTATGATTCTTTAGGGTGTTGTCACTTACATCTTGTCCCCCTTTGAACAAAGACCTTTTGCTGGAGCTGCCCGTGCTGCCGTTTTCAACACTGCTCGTCGTGTCACTTCTCAAGTTCCTTATATTGGTGTCGCTTTTGGTCTCGGCTATTACATTTACACTTCTGCCAAGAAGAGACACGCCTATCTTCAATCCAAGGCTGGTCACGCTGCTGAAGGCTCTCATTAAATGTTAAATCAACACAATAAAAGACACAACTTTATCAGCATTGATGTTGTCTTTGTATAGAAAAGAGGACAAAAAATAAAAAAAGAATATAGTGCACACTTTATAGAAGATATATAAATATAGAGATATGAAGGAGGATTACAAGTTGTGAGAAAGAGGAGAAAGAGTATATACATACATATATATATACATGTACATATCTATGTGTGTGTGTGTGCGTGAGGGAGAGAGGCCATGTTTTATTAAATGTTCATATCATGAATAACAATGTGTAAAATTGGCTGCGACTGATTACCGTCTTCCTTTTCTCTTCAAATATACAGCAAATAAGAACATGACAATGTTCAAAACAACAAAGAAACCCAATATACTCAGGTTTCTCCACTTGTTATCTGCGCTCCACTCCATGTTTGTTTCATAATACTCGGCTCCTGATGAGTAAGCACAGTAGCTGCAAAGTTCAGGTTGAGTAGCCTCTGGATTGACGATATAACCAGTCGCTAGGGATAAGAAGCCTTTAGTATATTCACCGCAAGTCTGATTTGGTGGAGGGAAAAACCTGAGAAGATCATCCTCGGCACATTCCACCTTGAGTTTTTCCAGTTCGTTCACGGCTAACCCTTCTACGTAGTAATGAAAAGGATTGACCCAATACATCCAAGATTTCCAAACCTGAGGCATAGAGGGAGCGGTTTGCATCAGTCCACAAAAGGAGATAAGGATGGAGATGAGCACAGGATTGATCATGGCAGCTGTCATTGGCAGTTCGACAGCAGCAGCAATTGCAAAGCCAATAGTAATGGCCCAACACACAAGGACAAGAAGGATAGCAAAAAAGTAGGCACAGCTTTCTGCTGTATTGGTCATACCCGCTGACCAGTAAAACCCACACATATACGCAGTGACAAGGACAAGGACATAAGGGATCTCTACAAGAATGACCGAAATACCAAATGGTAGCCATCCATAGTATCCTGACGCATATTCACGACGGAAATAGAGACGCTCACCCATAAACTTGAGTTGAGCTAGAATAATTAGCGTCAGGGCCATGATGAACGTGATAAAGAGAGCAAATGCCTTGTAGAATAAATCTGATATCGAGTTGCCAAGTTTCCAAAAAGTGAACCCACAAGCTAAAGAGGTGGCCATTAGGTTTATAAATCGACCGATATTATAGTCAGGTGAACGCCAATAGACGGTCGACATTCGTCCGAGGACAAGGCGAAGCTGTGTTAAGAATGAAGTAGCATACTTTTGTGTCTTGCGAGTTTGACACTTGTTAGCACAAGCATGAATCTCGTCGAGTTCAGTGTTCAGCGCTTTGGCCTCATCCGATCTTTGCCAGATGTCTGCCCAATCCTGCCCTGCTGCCTTTACAGATGTGCCAGCACCGATCACGTCGAGGATGTATTCTGCAGGATTTGTGTCAGGTAAGCATCTAGGTGCTCCATGTCGCTCAAAGTAATTAATCATTGTACGTGCGTCTTGTCCAATTTCACCAAAGTAGGCGGTGCGGCCGCCGCGTACGAGCAACAGTATGTGGTCAAACTGCTCAAACAGCATTAAAGAAGGCTGATGTATTGAACAGAGCACAGGCCAACCTGCATCTGCTAGTTTACGGATGAATCGAATTATGTTGTACGAGCTCTGAGCATCAAGACCAGATGTAGGTTCATCCAAAAAGAGCAACTGAGGCTTGCTCACGAGTTCTATGCCGATTGACAATCGCTTCCGTTCTTCAAGAGATATACCATATCCTGTCTCTACTTCTCCAATTTGGGCATCAGCTATATCCTCCAGCTCTAAGAGTTCAACGATTTGCTCTACATAGTCGTATTTTTCTTCTTTTGAAACGTCAGCAGGTTGACGCAGGCAAGCAGAGAACCGAAGCGCTTCACGTACGGTCACCTTGGGTTGATGCATATCAATCTGCTCGCAATACCCAGTGATTCGTTCAAAGTCGTCCAGTAGAATATCACTGTTAAGATAAACACGGCCTTTAACTTCACCAGCCGTCTTTCGACGGGCCAGAACATCCAACAAGACCGTCTTTCCAGCGCCTGATGATCCCATAATTGCTGTTAATTGTCCTGGCTTGGCAACACCGCAGACATCATTTAGCAACTGAAGAGAGGATTCGCCCATCTGCAACGTATAATTGACATTCTGCCAAGAAAATATTGTATCGGTAGATGCCTGTTTTATGCTATCTGCTGCACTATTACCGCATTGACAGGCAAATCTGCAAATACATTTTGTTTTCCGGTTTCTTCCAGGAGCCGTTCCAGGAAGATACAGCTTGGTCAAGTGACCTGATCGATTCTTTCCTCCCAGTTCCATCGTTATAATAATGTTCAAAGTGTAAAATAAAAATATTCCAATGATGATGACAAAGGTAGGAAACCACTTGTCGCTCGTCTTGTAATCAAACGCTTCCAGTAGGTAATCATCACCACGGACGTAAGGTATCCCCGGTTTAGCGCCTTTCATTGAGCAAACTTTGTATCTCCAGTCATCATAGCCTGATCCATAAGGTACGGATTCCCTGGTTCCTTCACAAGAGAAGATTTGACCGCTCATTTCATTAGATATGAGCATCTTGTAAGTGTAGCTAAGTGGATCCTGATAATACACCCAAGTAAACCATGGACGCATCTTATTGTACGCAAGCGTGTATCCAGTGTATGCGCAGTTTCCAATCAAGTTGAAGCTAGATAGTTGTGACGCTACAAAGAAACTGGATGTAATTGTGCTAGAAAACCGGAAAAATCCATTCATGCTCATGTTGAGTACAAATAGTCCAACAAAGAAGGTCGATATTTGACTGAAGGATAAGCTGAGCCCAATCGTAAAGTATGTACAGCACTCGAACAAGAAAACTAGAATGCCCAGATTAGGAAAGACAGTTTGACAAGCGTATGCTAGTCTTACCTTGAAAAAGTACATAAGGGATATCTGTAATGACTTGGGCAATATAAAAGGCAGATGGACTATAGAGTGCGTACTGTCTGTGCTTTTCTAGAACAGGTCGACCGACCATAAAGTTCAACAACTCTGTCTGAGAAATAAACGTGTTACATAAAATACAAGAAAAGAGTGCACCTCCGCGAGAGAATGCTCCATGAGGTGTCAAGGGTAGCTTGAAGAAGCAGCCGGCATTAACGATGGCCTGTAAAACGATCATACCATACCGGAAAAAAAGAGTTTTTTTATCGCTAGCAAGTAGATGATGATGCCGAATGGTCAAAGCCTTTACTTGTTGAAAGAATGAAGCAATATAAGGAAACCTTTTGGGTGCATATTTCTGGTGCTCTTCTCTTACTGTATGCTCAAACACAGAGGCTTTATTCTCTTTTTGGATCGTTTCCTTGTAGTCACTCAAATCATCCATCATGAGCTGATATATCGCTGACCTGTAGTAGTGTTCTTGGAATTCAGATGGATGCCTAGGTACAATTGATTCAAAACCAGGCCTGACTTCCCTTTCAGCAATGTTGCAAAGGCCTGTCAGGAATTCTGGTATCGATTTACGTGAGGGGCAACAGAAGCCAAGTGATTCAAAGTATGATTTGGCTGAGTTGGCTGGTCCGTAATAGATACAGTATCCTTTATCCAAAACCAGAACTTTGTCAAACAAATTATAAATGCTATTTGAAGCTTGATAAAGAGTTGCAATAGTAGTAATACTGAATATGTCTGTCATTAAACGAAGCGAGCGAACATAATCTAAGGCAGAGGCAGCATCAAGTCCACGTGTAGAACAATCCCAGCAGTTGATGGTGCAATGTGTCGTCATCTGCTCGGCAATCGAAAGACGTTTGCGTTCTCCACCGGAAAGACCACCTAAAGACGCGTTTCCGACCATAGTGTCTAACTGTCTAGTTAAACCCAGCATGTTGCCAAGCAAATAGAGAATACGATTAACAAAATCAGATTTTGTTTGTTCCCGAGCACGTTGTCCTGGCGTTTTTGTTTTTAAAGCAAACTCAAGTGTTTGCTTGGTTGTCAACATCGAATAGTGTTGATCCTCTTCTCCATTATAGCAGACCTGTCCTCTATATCGTTTCAGGAATGTTTTGCTATCAATTCCACCGTAACTGATATCACCTTCAATCCGGGTATACTGTTTACGCAAGTTAGCAATGACCTTTAGAAATGTACTGCAGCCAGACCCAGGACGCCCTAGAACAAGCAACATTTCTCCGTCTCGACAGCATCCAGTCAAACGATCCAAGATGACCGTAGCTGATTTATTTCTTTTAAATATTCTCCAAATTTTGAATAATGACGTGATACTGTTCAAAATGGTTGGAATAGTAAACAATTTAGCATCCTTTCCCTATATTAAGCCCTTCAGAATCAGTAATTACTTTGTCCTATTTTATCTCCCTCTGTGACATGATAGGGGAATAAATGTACCTCAACATGAAGGTCTTGCCATAAAACTCCCAAACGCTTGGTCTTTTTACTGTTTTCTCCCAATTCCCGACAGATGCCGTGTAAAAATTCATCTAGGTTGAAGTCATTCACACCAGTTTGACCCTTCTCCGCTTCTAATACCGATACCTTCTGTATTGCCGCTTTTAATTCGAGAGATAATTTATTACATCGAGATTTGGCCACTACACAAGGAGGTGTTTCATTTAGCTCTACAAAAAGAGGTTCACTCGTTTACATGCTCCTCATCTCTCAAACCTTCAAAGTTGATCTGATCAAAGTTTGGTTCGCCAAGTGCATCTTTTTTGTCAAAGGATTGATCAATGGTTATACTAACAGACGATGTGCAGCTGTTGCTACTTTTATTCCCATGCAAGAGTCTTTCCATGTCGAAACTATTCTCTTGTCCTAAAGAAAAAAGGATTGTAAAACAAAGAGAGAGGGAGGAAGAGAAAAGACGAATATATATATCATTTATAGGAAAACTTTAAATTCTCCACTCGGCAGAATTGGTCTGATGGAGCACGCGTGAAAGAAGAAAATGCATTACAGAGATGTCTAATAAAAACAAAGAAGGGATATTAGTGTATGCATTCTATCAGAATTTAGCAATTCTGCCGAAATCATCTTTTCTTTTTACAAGTCTTAGCCTAGCATTTATTTTGAAACATTTATTCTTCAAATATCATGCAAAAGATAATATTACTATTATGTACTATTGAATGAACAATTCGTGAGGAGAGCAGAATCTCTATAGAATGGTACCAGTATATCACACTAAAAAGACAGTTAATTGCCATTGTAGTTTTCTATTACACACAAGTATATCTATCACAGTTAAGCACGATATGTTATGGATTGTTTGTAGCATCGCGCTCTATGTGCTATTTTTATCGCAACCAAATTGCTGGTAAATGGCAAATTTACATGACACGGCTAGTCACAGAGAAATAGAATTTACTATTTAAGCTATGAAAATACACCTTTATGTGCTCGCAGACTTATCTATCTTTCCTGAAAATCTATTTTCACGAATACTAGTAATGGAATATATGTCACTAATGCATATATGGCCGGTTAATAAAATGGTTGTTGGCGTTCGCTTTGGCGCTTGCTATATTCACAAGGTGCTCTGGTTTTATGCATAGCAGGCACATAGTTTGAAGCTTTAGATTTTCCGATGCTTGTATTTGCTGATGTTATCAATGATATCAAAAGTAGATGTATTTATATTCTGCACTGCAAACCAGCTGATACTTGAATGGTGCTTGTACACGAGGGAACTTTCACCGAGAACGGGATAAGCTTGCCAAATCATTTTGCGTGATAATGGTCAACTTTGTATCTCGATCACTGTACACAATAGGTAACAAGTGCTATGACATCAAGTAACCGCTAATTTTTAATGATGCATTGAATAATGTCTGGGGCAAATAACCATCGGTATGAGACATACAACAATAATCTTGATGATTAGATACCATTATATACATTAATATGTCTCAAGTGTAAGCTTATGTAAGACTTTTGGATAATCTCAGGTACATATCGTTTTATATAGTAAATGTTTCAAAGTAATTATTCACACACAACTTAAAACCAATAGCAATTACACTTTAGTTGGTTATCAATCCTTTCTTGGTATCTTTGAGATATATAAGATAAATGTGATAAGTACTTATAAAAAACACGTAACTGAGAAAGTTGTTAGAGACCTTGTTTAAATAGCCTGATCTTGGTTTCTTTTTCTTTTCTTTTTTGGACCAAAAAGTAAGAGCAGCTAACTCTAATGTACGTTATATCATTGTAAGAAGCTGATATGCAGTATTATAGATCGTCCGTCGAAACTAATCCGGTTCTAGCTGGAAGTAGTTTGGTAAGAACCAAACTTGGCTCCACCTTCCCTTTCTTGCTCACTTCTATTTTTGCTCTTTCTTGTTTCTTTTCTCTTCTTTTCTTGCTCTTTGCGGGCTTGTTATCTCCAGCCCAACCCAGGATACACTTCGGGTAAGATATTAATCATCTCTTTATGAGTTTACTCATTTTTTTGTCTCTTTTTTTCTCTTATAAATCTCCTTCTTTATAATGTAAGTATTTAATATCAATGTAAATAACTGATTTACTAGTCATTTCTTTTATATTTCATTTCTTTTGTTTCTTGTGGGTCTCCTTTATTATTATTCTGTTGTCTCATTTGTTGTCTGAAATTATCATTTTTCTATCACTGTGCGAACATTTGATGATGAAGATTCTTTATTTACATACATTAAGCTAGTTTAAACCAAACTAAAGTAGAAGATAAACCAGTATTATTTTGGACTATATTCAACTGCAGCGTGTATACATTCAAACTAATTATACTTGGTTAATACTAGGAGCACTGCAAAATCCAAAAAAGGTAATACTCCCCCAAACTACAGAGCAAAAGTTTGTCAAGGCTAGTTGTGGTTAAATTCAGAAACTACTCAGGGCTGCTGTACATTAAGATGCCAATAAGGCTGAGACCTGCTCACGGTTCATTGAGCCGTTCTTGTCTGGCCTCTTTAACAATCCTGTCCAGGGGCGCTATTTACGTTGGATGAATGCCATAACTCTTGAATCTAAGGAAAATTCTATCATTCCATCCGTAAAACGTCCTGATATCTGTATAACGAAGTCTCTTGGTATCAGATGGCATCATTTGTCCTATTTCTAGGTTTATATCAAAAAAATTACACCCTTCGAGGTAGCATAGTTGATATATATTTCATACCCAAGTCAAAATCATCTTAGATATTAGCATAATATCCTATATTATGCCCACAACACTGATTCATGGTATCTCTAGTCTGTAGTAGCTGATGACGCGTCATATAATATAATTCACTAGATGTTAACAACATTTATTCTTGTAAAGTAATACACGTGCTGTACTAAACTCATCTTCGTCTTGAACTAACATGCAATGTGATGAAAAGAATTCGACCTTTGTACTTCTTTGATCACTTCATAGTTCCATTATCATATTGATATGGTTGTATATGCATATTTCAATATTAAACTACATAAAATATAATATCTTCTATGATTATCGAGGTGAACAGAGCATCGTGCTAATCTTCCGTAAAGTATAGGAACTCTGGTAGGCGTATCAGAAGTTGGTCTAGAGCTAGTCCATCCACTGGATCAGGTGAGTACAGCTAGATATAGAAATACTCAGCGGCAGTCTGTCTGCTTGATTGATTGAGGCATGGATCACTGCTCTCAGGATGATATAGGACAGGAATATAGCGTTGAGATCCCCGTGTTTTGATCAAGTGTTTAATAAATCCGGGCGATTTCCCACTTTGTTCCAACTAAATTCTTTCTCCTTCGAGGCTTTCAATTTCAGCTATTCCGTCTTAGAGATTATCTATTTAAGTTTCAATGCTCAGTAATAGCAAAGATAAAATGTTGTAAAACTTGTGTTGACGAAGCATGTAATCCCGCTTGACTGGTAGTTTTTTCAACTGTCTTTTGTTCTCCCATTATTCCAGCGCAGCTGGAAACGTTTGACAAAGGGTTCTTTGCTACATCTTCAGTCGCAAGGAAATCATAGAGATAAAATCAAATTTCAGTAAGAAAAACCATATGAAACTGTGCTTGTGTTTAGTGACCATGAGTTTCTGGAAATAAACAGAATCAATTATTTCATCACTTTCAGCAATCAAACACTGCTAGTACTTGCAGGCTAATACATCACATTCACAGAGCAATGTGAATACCAGGAAAAGGAGGATGAACAGGATATCGGCATTATGATTATTTACTTCATTAGGCGATGCGGACCTCCGAAAGGTCAAAGACTGCTATGTCCCTTGTAAAGCTTATACCATGAATTATATATAAATATGATGCTTATTAATTGATCTAGAGGCGTCATGATGATAGATACGAGAACGGATAAACCGCAGATAACAGCGTGTATTGCGATATTTAGAGTATATAGAAGTCATCGCTTCATCTGCTATGACCTATTTGAAGATGCATAACGCATATCCTTACCTTCCCCTGATGCCTGTGTCTAGACTTGCTCAAAGTAAAGCTATTATTTTTTTCATGGGTTAATGGGATTTCGGAACGCGTCTATCATTTGTTATTGCCATTTTTGGTGGCAGCGTTATTTTGATTATACATAACTTGCTTCATTTCTTTATACAATATTATTACTTTATAACAATTACTAAAAAAAAATAGTATTTATCTAATCTTTACTAGCAAAAAAGGATTTGACAGAGTCATACAAATAATGTGTGACCAAGGCTAGGAAATAAGCCCAAGGACGTGTGATATAAACAATGGATGCATGGAATTTATTGACTTTTAGTCTTTTTGCTATATAAATATAGAGGTGTACAATCCCATCAAAATATATATGTACAAACGATTACATGAATGAATATAAAAAGTACAAAGAAGATAGGCCAAACTTTTAAAAGTCATGAAATACTTAGGAAATAAACAAAAGTGTGAGCGTAAATCTTACCCAGATAGAAAACAATAACTTTACATAACTAATAAAAGGGCATAAAAAGCGAGAAATTTGCTCTCATCCCTTTCTTTCCCTCTTTTTTTTTTTTTTTTTTTTTTTTTTTTTTTTTTTTTTTTTCTTTTATTCTTTTTGATTGTTCTCTTTGATTGTTCTCTTTGGTTGTTCTCTTTGGTCAATTTAGGTTTTTTTTTTTATAAAACTTACTCATCAAGGCGATGATTGTGTGTTCAAGGACCTCTATGCAATCTCTTTCTATGATGATCAACATGTGTCGTGGACTGACAAAGGTCGTTCGTTTTATCACTCAACTGGAGGCTTTCAGGCAGCCAAAAGGAGAGTTATGGGCATTCGATTGGAGCCTTTATAGGGGGCTAATAGTTAGTTGGGAGCCAGTTATCTGAAATCACAGCTGTGGCAGATTGTTGATGACACTTCCTGCTGTCCGGCTGGCGCAAAGAGGTACATAAGCTAATTGACAATTGACAAGGCTCAGCTAATGCATACCCCAACGATACGTCTGCTACTGTGGGCCATTGCAGGCTGCTTGGTATTTGATGGTATGATGGTTTTTATGAGCGCCTGGCCTTTGTTCTGATGGTCAATGGTCGGCCTGAAGAATGTCATTACAGCAGCAATCAGAACCTTAGAAATCTTTTGGCATCGTTGCTGACCTTTTTTTTCTTCTTTTTTAGGTTTTCTTTGGTACAAAACATTGTCTTTTGAGAATAACCTTTAATAAATAAATATGTTTTTTGAAATGACTTTTATGATTGTCTTCATTTATATTTAAAATAAATACTTTTTCTAAAGCACTTAAGCTAAACATTGAATATATGCACAGCACCAGATCTGTACTAATGCCCAATGAATACAGCCACACCCTTATTACACATAGTTGATCAACTTAACACTGAGAAGCTCACAAGAGCCCAAGCTACAGTAAAATTAGTTAGAATAGACCTAGTGAGTGCAAAAACATTTAAATACCACAATAAAACACTCAACTGCTGGACAACTATTGTCAATAGATTGAGCGCAAAGTTAGAGTATATCAAAGCTTTTGCTTTATGAAACAAGATGTAATACTACGAGTGAATAGTACGATTCTATTGATTTGGTAGAAAATATCCAAAAATTATCAGGTAAAAGAGACTATATATATGTTATACGACCAAAGGCTCTACTTACAATGTAAATCCAATTTTCTTACTTTTTAAAGCAAAGTAGACAACATATTATGAGCAGTGTATAAATATCCTCAATCTATTACTATAAACTATGGCTGCTGATATAAAACCTATAAAGAGTGGTAGGGCATAAACAAAGCTACTGTTAAAAGTATACTTTATAAATTATATGCCACTTTGAGTTGTAGCATTCACGTATAAATCGAATTACATGAAGCATTTAGCTTGAACAGTCTTCAGTTTGCTTTCAAAAGAGCATTTTGCAATCTGGGGACATTACCTTTTTTTGGATTTTACAGTGCCTTTTTGCAGTGCCTCTAGTATTACCCTTATACTTTTTGTAAGAGAACTTTTTGCTTGTAAGGCTCACAACAGTCCTGTATTAGGCAGGTCATTCTACTTTTATATGATAAATAGTCATACTGACAACACTAATTCTCTCCCGCAAGACTCTCGTTCAAATATAATCCAATAATAGTAATCTCTTTTTAATGTAGAGTCTACTTTGTTGATCATTGATTTATTGACCTTATTCCAAATATAAAGCTGAATACAACAAGAGAGTTGTCTGATTTTAGAATATATACCTGTAAATCCAAATAAGAGGCTGATCTTGATGATCGAGTACGCTTACTATAATTGATAATGAACACTGATTGCTATCATTAGTTGACAATGGACATGTATCCATGAGCTGCAGTTCCAATAATCCTACGTGCCCAAAGAGACGCTAATCCAAATGATGTCACCAAGAAATTAAAATACGTTGAGGCGAAATCCGAATCTGGATCTAAGGCCAACACTACATGCACCGGAAGATGTATCAGAAAATAGGCCAATGCTACGGGCGCTTCTTCTAGGCACTACATGTAAGGCTCGAGTAAATTATCATTTATCATAATTACATGTGAGCTAAATGGTCTTCATTGATCAAGCGGACAACATAGAATTAGAATAAATAGATAACAGCATTTCTTTTTATTTCTTCTTCTTGAAAAGAACACAAGCAAGATGGTCAGAAGCTTTGTTGGAAAACATCATAGGTAGTGGATAGAGATAGCGCCCGTAGAACTAGTCTACCTTCTGGTGTATTTTCTGGTACATGTAGTGTTTCCCTTATTTGAAAGCCGATTTTAAAAACTAGTTATGCGATTTTTACCATTATACCTGCCAGTCAGACTACACCTTCCAAGCCTTTTATCGTTAATCATTACCAACCTAATGGCCTACAGGCTTTAATCCAGCTACCTCTCAACTCTTCAACCTCTACCCCATCATTAACGTAAATAATCACTATCTCTTTCTTTGGATTTAATTTTTTAAATCTATTTACCCAATTTTCTTTCACTGAGTAGACTTGAAATTTGGAATTTTTCTCTATTATGTTCTTAACGTTAATCTGTTCATTTTAAACCTTTTTCACTTAAATAAATAAGGATTGGCATGGATCTTTTGGTTGAATATTTTTTGAGTAGGCTACTCGAGGTTTTTCATTGGCTAATTTCTTTGATCTTGGGTGGCAAACCTTACAGTACACAACTAAAAACGAATGAATTTCATGCCAGAAAAAGCTTACCAGACAAAAAAGGTTCCCTTACGAAAAGAAAAAAAAACCAGCTCATAATTCAAGCATAAAGCAATAAGTGTAAAACCGCTCAAATTGCTCAAATATCTTTGCTTTTCGCTTGTTGTCCTGTTTTCAAATAAGTGTCCCATATTTTCTTGGCTGTCCCATTTTTGAAGCGCTGACCCATTTTGGAAAAGTGTCCCATTTTCAAATTTGGTGCCCCAGATTTTTATTGGTTGTCCTATTTTCAAAATTTGTGTCCCAAATATTTTTGAAGTGGCTCAATTTTTTTTTCGTGGCCCAACCTAATTTCTTCAGCTGTAGTGAAAGCAATTGATCAAAAAACGTATGCGTGTAGATTAGGTCATGTGCATCGTCAGTCAACGATAAGCATATTCTGTCAAATCTAAACAACAAATCGTGTGTACTACAGGATATGAAACAAAAGCTTATTTTCTCTCATTAAACTACCCTTCAATTACACAGACTATGCCACGTAATCGCTTATAGAATTAATTAAAAAAGGTTCTAGACAAAGGGGGGAAGTAGTACAATCGTTTTTCTCTATTCTTTTACATTCAATTATGTAATAAAGACAGGAAAAACGTACGATTTGGATGTATAACGTCATTTAAGCCTCATAAATATAAACTGTTTTTTTTTTTATTTTTAAAGGTTCTTCTTTCTTCCTCCTTCTTCTTCTTTTTCGAACTTATTTGATAGAAAAGAAAAATGCTACTGTCAAGCAAAAGATGAGTAGAATAAAGTTTGTTCCCATATGCGATTGGCCATTCTTATTGAATCAAGCAGAACCCGTAATAGAGGAGAGGATGAGTGAAGTCAAATGTAAGAATATATTCTCAAAATGGATTCAATCAGCCAACGACAGTAAATTCCTCGAAAGACCAAAGAGCATGCAGCTGTTTTTTAATGATGATCAAAAATTGGAAGGAATCAGGTTCATAATGAACAATGGATCAAGTGAAGATTTTATAGAATTTGGTGGAAATTTGCAATATATTGCACCTGAATTATATCTTCATCATGAATATCATGCAGACTCTGTCGATGTTTGGTCATTGGGTATTACATTATACAGGCTATTGGTAGGAAGGTATCCTTTTAATTCGGATTCAATGGGAGATAGGGCATTGTTTGAAAGAATGCTTCAATTCAGATATCCAATACCCAATGCATTATCGCCTGGTAAGCAGTTTCACAATATATTGTATCTCTTGAAACTAAAAAAGGGGGCGTGTATTATATAGAAGCGAAAAGCCTTATTCAACAAATGCTTTCACCTGTAGAATCAAGAATATCACTCAATCGGTTACCAAATCATCCTTGGTTCACTTTAAACAGAAGAAAGAAGAAGTCTGTTCGAGTTTTGAAAAAGATAATTCGATTCATCATCAAAGGTCCTTATCCACCACCCAAGAATCCTTACTTTCAATTAATAAAAGTGAGTCACTGAAAAAAAAAATTTTTTTTCCAACCATATAAATATATGCTTCATTTGCTTCCCCCTTTTTTTTTTCTTCATCACATAAAAATATTACGTTTCGAATATGCAAGTTTGCTGAAACAATATCGGTTTTAACTTTTCCTGAACGAAACAAGACATAAAGGATTGACTCTACAATACTGTTTTCATGCTCTTTTACATGAAAATAGTTTCGCGGTTAATCTATATTTATTATAAAATAAAACATATAACTTGAAAATAGCCCTTTATACCCCTCCTTTGAAAACAAAGAGAGGGTATATATATTGATATACTCTGCTTTCTTCAAACCGTTCTCGCTACGGGGTATTTGTGTAATACATGTTACAAGAGAGCAATTCTGAGTCTGCCATGTGTATCTACATATTGCAAATCAGCCAAGATAATTTCAGGCTTCAAACTGACGTTTGAAGAGGTTCTGAATTCAATTCTGGACACTACAGTACGAAAAAGGGACCCTGACAGCATTTTAAAAGTCAATGAGTCTCTGTATAATCTCGATGAATTGGTCATGTAAAGTAGTCACATGCTCTGACGAGATTACTTTTGTTATTTCTTTTTATTAAATATGAATAATAATATTAACCCAGTTCAGTTAACCGCCACTGAATGTGAACCCATTGTTGCATTGCATGTTGCAATAAGCCAAAGGGTTACTCGGATAATTCGCAAGTTTAAGAGATCACAAACCATCATTCCTTTACCACGCAGTGGACGCTCTCGGAAGTTGAAAGCAAGGGATCGCGGGCGTCTTCGAATCATATTGAGGAATAACAGACGTGCTACTTTGCAAGAAATTATAAACATTTTCCCTGTCGAGATTGTAAAGATAAAGATGAGAGAGGAAATAAAAAAGATGGGTTTGGAAGCAGAATTGCAGCCAAGAAGCCGTTCTTAAGCGAGAAGAACAAGAAGGCAAGACTAGCCTTTGCAGATAAGTACAAAAAGTAGACTTAGAGAGCTGAAGGAGAGCCATTTGGGCCGATGAGTTTACATTTGAGAAGGGTGTATACTCTAGGCAGATAAGAGTGTGGAGAATGTCAGAAGAAAGGTATGAGGAAGCTTACTTAGCCTCAAAAGTGGGAGGTCTTTATTGATTGTCTGGGAGGTATTACCTTCAACGGGACTCTGGTGTTTATGAAGAAAGATAAGTGTACGGCAGTGGATTTTGTGAAGCAAGTGTATGGATCAGCTTTGCTGGGTTTTTACAACAGCTTACAAAATCCCATTCTAATGGAAGATAATGCACCCGTCCACACTGCAAATTATGCAAGAAAGTGGAGGGAAGAGCATGGATTTGAAAAGCTGAAGTGGCCCGCACAATTGCCCGATTTGGACTCCATTGAAAATCTCTGGTACCAAATGAAGATAGAAATCAAACTCAATGGAACGGGGATGGGGACCATGGATGACTTGAAGGAGGTTATGGAGGATGCGTTGGATTATGCTCCCAAGGCATAAAATCAATTAGCTAATAGACAGCATGCCAAACCGTGTAAAGGCAGTAATAACGGCCAAAGGAGGACCCACTCGCTGGTAAATTTCCATTATTAACTAGAATTCACTTTTTTTGCCTTTTTTTTTATATACATCATTCAAATCGTCTCGATTTTCTCTTTTTATTTTTTGTAATCTTTCCTTAGATTACGTCTTGAAAATTACTGAATGAAGGCAAGATGTACCATGAGCAACATCGTAATTTTCGGAAATTTAAAGAGTTCATAACCTTTCGATGACTACTGTACCTGCAACCTATGAACATGCCATTGGCAATAATAAGAACGATATGGGTAAGTCTGCGAAATACATTGCAGAGAGTGTTCAGGTAAGCAGATTATTAGAAACAAAACACTACATGATTATAACCAGTTATTAGCATTTTATTACACTTATGGATACATTACAATTAAACCGATATGCGGTGGATGAACTTCATCCTATCCTTGCAGACTTGATCCAATCGCTAAATAAAGTACCGACCTTGCCTGCTGATTTTGAAGGAAAACAAAGGATTCGACAATAGTTGATTACCTTACATTCAATGAAAGCAAGTGATAGGATTACAGAGGAACAAGCAAGGCAGATGCTCTTTGAAATGGAACAATTACATATAGAGTTTTACAGGTTACTCAGTGGAGAACACAAAGATACTATACCACAGTAATAATAAACAACCCTTTTTTTTTTCAGTATATATTTTTATTTTTATTTATTAATTTTTTAGCTGATGTATATATTCACCTCTATTACAGGATCTATATATATATGTTTTACGTTCTATTTTCAATAACCATAGGGGACACTTTTATCGCTTTACCACCAAACATAATAACAGTATCACCTGTATCAGAAGGCACAGTTATTGCACACCCACTACCTGTCTATTGACCGTTTCACTGAGTAAGATATAAAAAAAAAACTTACCTTTAAAAGAGATTCTAATGTAGTGGGATTTAACGGGGACTTTATAGGAGACTAGAACTGCTCTTTATATGCAAATGCTGTCATCTAATACACGACATATAAACATGTGCTTAATACAAGTTTGCATCATTTGAATAGGTAGCTATTCCTTGATCATGGTTGATACCCCGGATTACTCTGTATCAATTTTCTCTATTAAGGAATAGAACGTAAGTGTACACAATGCGCAGTTGGAGTGACCAAACAAATATAAAATGTGTCATTGACCACTCTTGTCAGAGGGAAAACTTTATCCAAATTGGAAAGATACACGCTTTCTTTTTTTTTTTTATCAATCTGTGTATGTGATTATATATCTTGCTGCATATAACTAAAATGTCATTGGAGTAGGCAAGGCAAGACTATATTTTGATACTAGTGCAAAATATATTCATTACATTTCCTGTTTTTACTATTCTTGTTCTTCTTTTTTCTACCAGAGTCGTCTGATGAACGTACTGAATACATTCAAAGTCTGTAAAAAAAAAAAAAAAAGAAATAAAAAATAAGCAGAGAGAGACTATGAATAAAACGAGGAAACCCAAAGTGTGTTTATTGATTTAATGAGGGGAAGAAAAAGATAAGCAGTGTGAATGTGAATAGTCACAGGTACACAAGTTGTTCATAACCAGTAATAACCACGCGACTGAGAATATCATTTGGTGATCAGCACACCAAAGAAAGAGCATAGATATCATTCTGCTCTTTGTAAATACAGTAGTAGAGACTATGATTAAGCTCGCATGAAGGTTCTCGCTTTATAGAAAAGAGATAGAATATAGAAAAACGAAAGGAATACATTCCACGTTTCAAAATCCTAGTTTGATTCGTCCTACGAGACACAGTAATTTATTGTGCAATACAGATGGTTCGCCACAGTTATCGTTGCCTGGCAGCACGTTTTACAGATCATCAATGCTTAAAGGCTGAAAAAGGAGAAAACGCGAACAGGATCGCTGCAGGGTGGTATCCATTTTAAAGTCCAGTTATTGTAACCAAATCCGTTGTCTCTTTAATATAGACCAAGTACGTATATCCTGCGTCTTGTAAAAAGATAAACTATGAGTACAAGTAATATAACTATACGAAATAAAGATGTTGACATGGCAAATCTTTTCGTTAACTAAGAATCAAAAGTAGAGCTTTGGTACAACTCGATTCCAAGAAAACTTTGTTTGTGTATCCATGTATGCTTCATATTGTTAATAAGAACAAATGAACACAGGGAATGTTCTTATTCCATGTATTTAACAGCATTCACAAAAGGTTCATGCATAGAACTCTATTTAATCTAGTAAGCTCTTTTTGTGAATCTTTACATATACTGCATTTACGTACGGCATTCAGGAAGCTATTAGGGCTTTAAACAAAGACTTTAACTAAACACACTTTATTAGAAGGAAGCTACTAAGCTAGTATAGCTTTTTGTTCATTTTTAAGACATTTTTCCTTTGCCAAGATAAGCCAAGATATTTTGTTTACAGCATGGTGCCTTTAAATTGAGTTACTGTGCCAGGGACTGGTGTAGGGGAACTTTCCTACAAAATTATTAAAAAGGGAAGAGTGTAACGCCTTGTGTGAATTTTTGATTTTTTGTATTTATCGCAAACTTTATCAAGGCTACATTATAGTAGACATTAAAACAAAGTGTAGTATAAAATAGGAAACTCGTTCAACCAATGAAGCATTGATCAAGAGAGTACACCCTTGTAAGGATCAGCACACGGGCAACAATAGCCGTTTGCCGTTCCTTTCCGTAATTATGCATCCAATAGTGTAGTATTCATTTTTATGCAAAAGAGAAATAGTGTGATATCATGTAGAGAGGTACCAACCAAGCGTCTTTTCGCGTCCCTTTTATTTGTGACTTAAATTAGCAAATAACTACAACTTATGAATACCCCAAAAATATAAAGACTTATGCAGCCTTGTCTTTTTAGAAATAGAATTGCACCGTTCATGTCCCATATCTGTGTGTATGACTTTGTAATTTAAAAAGTGTATTTAAACAGCAGCTTGACATGTTCTGTTTTTCCTTCCTATAATGGCGTTATTAGCATTACAATAGCTGTGTTACACATCATGGTAATAAAAAAACTATCCAAGATCCATATAGTCCATAAATCCCAATAAGGGAATAATGCAAAATAAAAGAAAAGAGAATAATAAGGATTTTTATTATAATCATAAATGCTCAAAAAGTGAGTAGATACGTCAAGCGGCGTATCATTTGGTTTTAATTGGGGATTGAAGGTTTTTGGGAGCATAGTAGAGAATAATACATTTTGTTTGTTTAAACTCAACTGGTGCTAAAGAAAGAGTAAACTCCACCAAAAATCCTTTCTTTTTCGTGATTTATTAACACTTGGAATTGGCATTTGTACATGAATTTAGATAATGTTAATCTATAGCATATGCATAATTCATCTTTGTAATTAGCTTAATGACAAATACTTAAAAAGTACAGTGTCACTTGTTATCATCGTCCCTTGATCTAATGAAGTATTTAAGCAACTGAAATGTAATTGCCAGCACATACAACCTCATAAAGCAAAAAAGAAGGAACAAAAAGTCCAAAATATCTTTAGACATACAGATGAAATGAGAAACAAGCAAATACACATTAGCTATGTTAACTGTACACTCATAAAAAGGAGTTTCAAATGCGTCCTTGCCGTCCTTGCGGAAATAATTGCATGTGTGCGTGTGTAAATGCAAGCTAATGTCGGATAAAATACTGGCTCTGTATCCATGGTAACAGAAATCCTCTTTTTTTTTAACTACGTAGTTAAACAATGGCAATAAGAGCAAAAGATGAGCGATCATCATCTCTTTCTTTTTATCATTTGTACATTTTGTCAATTATCTCCTCTTCTTTTGTTTTTGATTGTATCAATGAAATAAACATAAACACATATTTTTGTATTTACAGCAAACTTCAATTCAGTATTAGTTTTTTTTTGATGATAAGCAGTTGTGTAACAGAATTTATATTATTAAGGTTTACTCATCTACCCCCACCACTCCTATTTATGAATCAACATTTCTTTTCTCTCTTTAAGAAAAAGGCTCTTGTTGTGGATACAAAAGGAAAGAACATGTATCTGTAGTAGTATGGGAATACATATATATATATATATATAAAGTACTACAGAAAGGGAAAGAGAAGGGGCTGACATGGCCAAATTTTTCTTTTTGGGGAAAGTGTTAAGGCAAACCTTTTTTTGATTTCCAAATACAGAGGACTGCTCTCGGCCATCTTATTTTGGTAATTCAAACAAATGTGGATCGGGTGAGAGATTGAGTCATGTATCACACAATCTTTAGGTGCGCGCTCGTTGTAACTGTTTAAAAGATGCCTGCTTCATGTGAATCAGCCTTGTCAAGTATGACAAGAGCTCCTTTTTTTTATATTAAAGTTTGAGTTTTTGATTTCTTCTCTTTTTTCCCCCTCTTTACCTTCTTCTTCAGTTATTGATCTGATATGGAATCCACTGCTTATACTCTCTTCCCTCAGCTGAATTGTTATTCTCAAATGGAACAGCAGACCATGTCGTGCTATCCTGAGGAATTATACTATTCTTCAGTACAAAACTCATATCCAATGCTTCCTGTCTATGATCAGGAACTACTTATCCCATCTCCTGTGGTGCCTTCTTCGAGCATTAGCACGACAAGCAGCACGACAGATAGTATTTGTAGTAATAGCGAATCCCCTCTTTCAGTTCAATTAGACAGTTTCTTTTATCAGCCGCAGCAGCAACAATCATTTTATGATTTATTCACATCATCCACTGTACATGAAGAGATCAAAGAACCAAAGCAACCAGTTTCACCTCACAAGAAAGCATCCAACAAAACATCAGCAAAGAGCCCTGCCATCTATCAATGCGACTTTGAAGGCTGTACCAAGACATTTACACGTACTTATAACCTAAAATCACATAAACGAACACATACGGACGAAAAGCCATTTGAATGTAGTATATGCTTTAAAACATTTGCAAGACAACATGATAGAAATAGACACGCCAAGTTACATTTGGGCCTGAGGCCCTTTTCATGCCAATACTGCAATAAATCATTTGCTAGACAAGATGCTCTCAACCGTCATTTAAAAAGAGATAAAAAGAATTACCAGATACCACCGCCTTGTTATTATGCCAAGCTGCGACAACAGCAACAAGAACAGTTGGACATGATAAAGAAACAAAAGAAGCACTCACTTCATTCCCGTGTATAATTCATTCCTTCTATATATATATATATATACATTATATACATATATATTATCACTCTACGCAAGTATATGCATATTATATAGATATTGTTTTCTTTCTTGTATTATTTATCGTCATTATTGTATCGTATTATCCCCCTTTCTTCCTTCTTTCTTTTGTTTAATGCTGTGTGTATATTAGTAATAAAACGTCCTTGTTATTTTATTTCTTATTCAAATGGGCAACAAATAGATGGGTATCTTGCTTTTTATATTTTATTATAAAAGATCTTCTGGTTTAGGTAAGTTACATAAAAGGGCTTCAAGTGCTTTCCAGTTATCTATTGTCTTGCGATTAAACTGAAGCTGTTCATGTACATAGTTTTGGTAAAATAGAGAAACAAATGCCTGTTGCTTATGTAGATAACTCAACTCAGCTGCTACACAATAGCGAATATGAACGTCCTTTCTTTGCTGGTATTTCATGCGTTCGGTGTCCTAAAATGAAATTTAGTGATCTTACTATTTATATCCACACTCTTACACTTTGAATAGTTGCATCTAATCTTTCTACTTCAGACTCCAGTCCAGGAACACCACGATGCTGGTTGACTTTTGCAGTGTTCATGGCGATTTTCTTTTTTAAAGAGTCTAATTGGTTAATATCCAATCTTGATTTTCTCTCCAGCATCTCAAGAAAGCTTTCGAGAATATCTTTATGTCGCTTGAGACTTTCAAGTACATTTGAATTCTCTAACTCAGTCTGAATGATGACGCTTTCTTCATCCATATAGTTCCCTACGGACTCGTAGCCACGTACCACGTGAGGGCACGCTTGACAATTAGGCACAAAGCATGTTTGCTCTACAACACCAAGCTCTCTATGGAAGATACTTAGTATGTTGATAAAATAGTTATCAAGTCCTATTTACTTTAGTGTTGTGTGATACTGCTTTAGTTCTTGAATTCTTGCTTCTTTTAGCTGTATCATGCGCTCCATCGTACAACAAAGACGTTCATAGTATTCAATCGATTTAGGTAATCTATTCCTGACAGCTTCGATACGAGCGTCGAGGTCTTGTGGTATATAAGGATCAAGTTCTTCTGTATTTGGGTTCGTTCTTATAAACTCTTCTTCACTAGATGGCACATGAGCTCCTTTTCTCCATGCTGCGAATTCCTTTAAAGACGTTAGTTATTTGATGTTTATACAAAATCTATGCCTTACTGTTTCTTCGGTCAAAAAGATAGATACTACTTCATCCTTTTTTAATACAGGGTGTCTTACTACGCAGTTAATAAATCGGGATAGGCCTTGACAACGCTTCTCTAAAAACACATCATCCTCTATTGACAGAGTCAATATGTATATATGCATTTCAGAAACATGAACTTACTTCCTGAAAACTTTTTAGGTGGTAAAGACGGAATTACTCTAAAGGGATATCTTTTCATTAAAGTTTCCCAAAACCAGTAAAAGTCACTATATCTTCTTCTTACAGACGACTGTCGATTATGACTCTGTACCCAGTAATTGATATGTGGAAAAATGAATCCCTCTTTCTCTGCTATAGTAACCGTAATTTGATCAAGATCCGAGAACCAGTCATGCGTGACAATAGGTTTATTGTCCTTGGAGGTTTCTTCAATGACTTTCTTTGCCTGTCCATTTGTCTGCTTGGCCTTGTTATCTTCGTAAACTGGAAATATATTGGATGTAGGTGGGCTTGTGGATAGACGCCATGGATCGTCTTCAAAACCGGATTGCTTGGATTTATTTGGTTTAAGAGAAACTAGCTCCAAATTGGGCAATAAAGGAATAGGCAAGTCTACATATAGTATAAACAACCACTTTTACCTTCTTTACGTCAATCATAACTTACCATTTCTGTGTTGATATACATTCATTAACGATACATCTATTTTCATATGAGCCTTTCATCTAAACGTCACTCTTTTTTTCTCATCCTTATCTTACCCATGTTTTTTTGAGCACATGCTAATAACGCCAAGGCTGTATTAAACTCATTTCTTGTGACGTACATGACACCGGCAGGGATGACAATAGCAGCAATCTTTTTTAAATAATATCATTTAATATCTTTCTTTCGCCTCACATACGATTGTATCACAGAATAACAACCAAAATTGCAATGTTTACCTACTTGCTCATAGGTTCGTGGTCCAAGTCCTCCCAATCCAATAATTGTCTCTAATGATTCAATACTCACTCGGTCACCGATAGGTCCTGCTCGGATATAAGCTGTGTCAAATATTTCTGGTAAATCGACTCCGACTACATAATTTTTTAATAACGTCTTTTTCCTTTATGACATGATATAGTTTTTACCTAATACATTGGCAGCTGTAATATCTTCTGTTAGTTCCATGGTTGTACTTGAAGCCAAAGGCTGACGTATGTCATCAACAGGGTCAAAGCTAGTCGTACTCCACGGGTCCTCTTCTTCAACTGCAAATGAAATAGATCTTGGTTCGGTTGATATAAAGAATGAATCCGTTGGTTGAAGAATGGCGCTTAATGAATCCTCAGACATTTTTTAAATATGTAAATACAACACGTACACACACACGTACACACACAAACAAAAAGGGGGCGATGAAAAATAGAGAATAAGGAAAAAGAAAGAAAGAGGGAAAAGAGAAGCAAGGAAAAGCCCTTTACTCTGTTTTTCCCTTTTTTTCTGATCGGATGACGTGAAATGTAGCACGAGAAATTATCATCAATTTATTCATGCCCCTTTCAGAAATTAAAGAAATGTTCCTGAGCATGAATTCGGGTTAGATACAAGTTTTTAATCTAAAACGAGACAGTTGTGGTTGCGAAGAAATAATACTTATTATCTGAAAATAAAGTGTGGCGTGAAAGAGCCTTTATTACCATCTCATCGGAGCCTGGAACGGAGGCAACAGTGATTGGAACAAAGCATACCTTCCAATCAGGCAATGGTTTATTGAGGGTATTATTGTACGTCTTCTTGGATCCATATGATCTTTCCAAGTACCATCAGAACATGCCAGAAATGTATGAATGCGAGAGACTAAGACAGTAAAATAGCAACGCAAGATTTATCGACATTCCTAAACTTTCATTTTATCATATATATAAATACTTACTCTTCGTAGGTAGATGCTTTTGATGCATTGTACAGTATATCTTTTATAGGCCTGCTTTATTTCAACGTCCATATATTTTTTGATATTTTAAACCTGATGCACTTCTTGACAAAGAAGACTTGGAGCTTTGCATTGGTTCTGTTCTTTCAACTGTAACATTATTCTCAATGTTCCCCTGCCAACTGCCTTTAATATCTGTATTCTTCTGGTGGCTTTACATATAAATTTCTTTCTGAATACCAACAAACTGAACTTGCTGTTACTGCCGTTCACACTGAAGAAGAGATACAGCTTTATATTAAGTTTCTTACGGAGCCTAATTTGCGTAACAACTTAATTCAATGAAGACAAAAAGCCCAACTTCGAGAAATTTGCTAAAGAATGGTCATCTTTCTGTGTACCAAACAAAAAAAAATTACTACACCCAAGCATCTTGAAGCCTACTTCAACATACTCGTTGATAGAAAAAAGTATGGTGATTCAGTGTTGTTGAATATTGACCTAGCTCAAGAAGTTAGAAGTCTTACTTAATCTGAGGCACACTTCTCTTACTCCCTTCCTGCTTTACCTCAACCGAGACCACCAGAAGTGGTTGAAAAACGCTATTTTGTTTTCACCAGAGCCGCCTTCTCCTTAATCGACCGGTGTATATCAACCAATAACTCTAAAACTTCCAAATCGATATCAGTCTATGTTAAATCAAAATCAACCTGCTCAATCAGATTTTACGACTAATACGAAGAAAAAACGGGCAAACACATTATGCAAATTATGCTGAATGTAAAGGTGGTCATAAACAGATTTATTGCGCAAACAGTTGCGGTAAATGCAGAAACAAAGCTTGTGGAGGGAAATATGGTGGGCCTGCATGCACTTATAATCTATGATTTCTTTTTTATGATTTATGGTAATAAACTGATGATATTCAAAAATAAAAATAAAAAACCCCTAGATATGACTATACCGCCCTATTTTCTTTAATAATCACAATTAGTGTTTGGTATTTTTGCCTAATGATATGACACAATTTATCAAGAATGAACGCAGAGTTTCGATTATTAGGTTTGATTCGCATTGGTTTGAAGAGAAATTCAATAATTCAGCTCTTACCGCCATTTTCGCCTCATGACCACTACAGCTGCTTCTAATGTTCTCCATTTCGCTCATTGCTTCATCTTCATCAATACCAAACTGTTGCAAGGCTTGTGTAGTCTGGTAGTATGTTAAAATAGTGCTTTCTTCCATCACTTTTAAATTCTTATTAACGTCCAAATTTTTCATCAACGCAACTTTTTCATTGAACTTCATCTTGGAAAAGATGGTCGACTGACTAGAGATCAAGAATATAAATGAAAGTGCCCTAATATGCAAATAAATATAAACATTCCATTGTTAAAAAGCTAAAATAATCAAAACGTACAATGTATGGCACTCTGACAAGCTCTTTCTCATCTGTGCTTCTTTGATGCATTCTTGCCTGAAACATCGAAGAACTTTTATGATAGATATATCATTCAGTATCCACTACAAAAACGAAGCATTAGTATAGAGATGCTAAATGTTCTTTATTATAAACTAACATGTGGATTTTGGTCGTCTACACCACCGAAATTGGGTTAAAAAAGAGTGATTAATGGAGTATTGATTTTATCTGCAAAACAAAACACGGACTAGAACTTTCAGACACACGGTCATTGATTATGTTGATATTGGAGTGGGTAAGTGCAATACCATGATTGTTTTCAATATTCAACATGCCGTTGATTTACCCTTCTCTGTTTATATATAAATATTCCTATTTATGACTCTTTAGGCTTTTTATATTATTATTTCAATAATCTAATGACGTAATTTATTACATGTCTAATCTTTTTCAAAAAAACTCTTTTTTGCTCTTTCATTCTCTTTTGCAAAAACTTTAGAAATATTAGACCGAAAACTAGGGGAGAACACTTCAAGTGGTCTCTTGACAAAATGGTAACATTATCTAGGAACAATTAGAAAGATAATGCCTGCCATGTCCGCTTCATCTTAAGGCTTTGGGCTCTTTCCGGAGTCGACAGTAGCTTCCTACATGATTATTGTGGGGTGTGGCACATAGATGAATATTGTTTATCATTATGATGTTTTGTTATGTAAACACGAATATATGAAGTGCTGAACACATTACACGAGTAGGCGGTCTTAGTTGTTCCCACCCTCCTCATCCCTTGTCTCTGCTTTGTTTTCCTGGTCTCACTCAAGAAGATGAAGATCAAAAATTTTCATTTCAATTATTTTATTGTCTTTTATTGTAGTACAAGTTCGAAATAATAAAGAAAAGACTGATAACAACAACCAGATCACTTACTCATGTAATGTGTTCAACACTTCATATATTCGTGTTTACATAACATTATAATGAAGACACTTCAAATTATTATAATGCCGGCGGCATATACACCCCAACTCTCTCCGGATTTACTTACGAACTAGCCATACTTGAAACAACAGGCCCCTTTGAAAAACTTAACTGGTATAAAGAAATCCAAGACTTTGTAAAAGCTGGATATGGCCTAGTATCAATGTTGCACAGTCTCGGAAGAAAATTTCATTATGGTGATAAAGAAGTTTTTAAAAAGATGAATGTATTCTTTTTACAAGGAACACGTAACTATTATTGATATGATCCAAAGGCGTATTTCGTTATTAATTTTACTTTTATAAGCAACCAAGTTCAGAGTTCGGAAGATGGGTTTAGTCGAAAAGGAGGTATGCCTGTTACAAAAATGCAGCGGTGTTAATCTGAAGCACAATGAACCAAGGGAAATACTGCTAAAAAACTTGATAAACATGGTTTGGAAGTTAAAAGTATGTATTTTTTGTGGATATATATGCATTCTAAATTAATATGGTTTTTAAAACGCTAATATGTATTTATAGATTGAAATAGAAAATAACCTTCGACGTGTCGAAGAACTTGCACAATCTCACCAAGATAACTTAAAGTCGCAAGAGAAGATGTTGAGATGAAAGATTTGCCGTCACTATTCAAGAAGAATACGAATATAAAATTACCAGATAAATAGCTGCAATACGCAAAGTGTATGAGAATGAATAGCTCACCTTTTAGCTCGGATAATGAGGATGAATAAGAGAAAAAATGACAATGAATCTATTAAAAATGTATAAAGAATAAAATTTATACAATATTAGGACAGAGAAGAGAAAAGACTCTGTATTGAAGTTACTCTATTCACTTTTAGAATCCTCTTATAAAAGTCTGCTTTTTTAAGATTTTTTTTTTATTGTAACGCACTGCAACTTGTTTTCCTTAATTAAAGGGGATATACACAAGTATATCTTCCTCCTGAGCTTCACCCTATCGAGATGTTTTGGAAAGTACTTAAGGAACGAGTCAAAAGAGAGAAGTTGACGGATACAGAAACTCTTTCTTCGAGAATAACTGAAGGTAGTGAGGATGTTCCTGTCGAACATTTACAAAATTTCGTTCAGCACTCAATCGATGTAAATTCTAAATGCTTAAATAAAGAAGGTTTGTGATCAATGTATCTGACGAATTCAAACATTCGGTAAATTGAGAGTGGAAACACAGTATTTAGAACATTCCGACTATTGAACAAGGTATAAACTTGGTACCATGCGACTTTCATTTTGTAAACAAAAATAGAACGCGGACATCTCTACGCATTTGGAAATTCGTGATACTTTTTACAAAAACAAAAGACTGCGGTCATGAGCAAGTTTACTGTGTTCATGTACTACTGCATATTTTGAGATACTTGTGTAATTGGCTTTTGAAAAGACAACAGAATAGTGGTCAGCAGTGCCATATCCTACTTCTGATGTAGCAGTAGTCAACTTGTTTGTTCTTTCGTGATCTGTCCTACTCAAAAGAAAACAAAAAAAAAACGTGATACTTTCAAATTGAATTACCAGAACTATTAGAGAATATATTTATTAAAGTAAGGATATTAAAAAGACATTAAGTAAGTATTAAAGAATAAGGTAAAAACTAATACATTAGTGCGGCATCAGCAAGGTTATAGCTATCCACAAGGACACGCACGTAGTTATTCACATTAGACATGTTAACTGCCATAGGAGCTGCACCAGGAATACCTTCACCCTCGATAATCAAGCGATTTTCATCAATCGTCACATGTCCTTTACCCTTACGATTACGGACAATAGTAGCGCCACGATGGTTGCCATTCATATCATAGTCCTTCAAATCCTTTATTTCCTTCTGCGTGATACCTAAGTCATCTTCTGGTAACCAAACTGTAGGCTTGGGAGCATAGACAGAGGGATGCATGTAAGCCTCTGTGGCATATAGCGATTTGGCCGTATTTATCACCTGTGGATCATCTACCTTGAGCTTTCTGTCGTCATGAAGCTCTTCATCATGAAGTCGATCAAGTAAGTGTCGACGGGCCTCAAAGGCTTCTGTGGGTGTACGAGTTGGGCTATGGGTTGCCACTTTGGTAAGAGGGGAAGTCTGAGGTGCAGCATCAGCATGGTTGTGATGTGTTAAATCAGAGCTATCGGAGGTGACAGATTCACCCTTGACCAGATCCACTTTGTTTTCCACAGGTTCAAAGGCGCATACTGGAAGAAATTTAAAGAGAGGCTTGAACGCTTTGTCATAATAAAACAGAGCAAAAGCAGTTAGAATCAAGGTAATGATCATGAGAATCATTTGACCCAGTGCGTCTTTTCGAATAGCAAAGAGACCGATCAAAGTGAGCTGAGAGATAAATAGACCAATGTAAATGTGACGGATGGCTCTAGGAAAAGCACGGCCAGCGGTTTCATAGCTAAGCTCAAAGACATACAAGAACTGATACAGGTAGACGAAGTACTGTAGACAGAAGAAGAGACAGACGAAGGGTAAGATCAATGGCGCGATCACACCGTATTCTAGACCGAGAATGAAGATGACAGTTTGGCCAGGGATCAAAGTACCCAAGTTGACAGTCGGGCAGGTTCTCTTTTGATTGTATATGTCTCTAGGTGTTGTCGCAAATATGGGTTTGATATACGATAGTAAGTAAGGGACTGGTTGAAGCATAGTTTGACCTGATTGGTTCGTGGCTTGAAGCATGACAAAGGTGATAAAGAAAGTAGAGGCCTGTGGTAAATTCTCAGACAGGATATTTACGACGATCAGGGGATTTTGAGCAATTGTTTTGAGTTGATCAACCATACTAAAGAAACCACCGGAAAGCGTAGAGACAAGGACGACATCGATGAGCTGAAAGAAGAAGAACTTGTGCAAAACAGACAATTCGACAAAGGAAGTCTGAGGGATACCTTCACTTTTAGACAAAAATGTAAAGATCACAGGAACAAGGGCAATCAAAATAGCCAGGGCAACAGCAGGTAGAATACCTTGAATGATGCCTACAGCAGTAGGACCCAAGGCATTAAGACCGTTAAGGAAAGGTAAGACTTGAGATAACTTTTGCAAGTTGGCAACAGCCTGTACAAAGACAACTGAATTGAAAAAAGGGGTTAGAAAGTTAAAAACAGAGCATATACAATTAAAGTACCTGGAACAGCCCAAAAGATGACGATAGCAGTAGTAATAAGCATACTGATAAATCGTCGTACAAGACGTTCGAAGGATCGGATGCCCATGTTATCCCAAATAACGTCGGAAGGAGCAATACCAATATAACGAGGTGCCATATGCATTGCATCTTTATGGATCAAAGTCTGTGCAGCCATGTGAGCTGCAGCTTGGTTATGAAACTCAATAAAGGCTGAATTGACTTGGTCAAAGTCAGGTGCTTCTTGTTGCCTTTGCTGAATGGTTTCGTTTAATTCCTTGATCTTGTTATGGTAAAATCGAATGGTATCTACTTTATGTCCAATGAATGGTAAAGGAACAGGCAGTGAATGCTCACGGTGTGTCGGTCTAATCTTTTCGGGAATATCTTTGGTCTCACCATCTTCTACACGATTGAGATCACCTTTTTTCAAATGATACTTATAAGTGGCAAGGATCGCCTTAGTTACAGCAGCTTCTAAACTGTTGACTGCTTTGTCTCGATCAGCGACCAGGTCGGGCAAATCTTTTAATTTTCTGTGGTAAATTAAATAAAATGTTGATAGTTCTATTTACACTTTATCACACGTGTATTTACCTATTAAGCCAAACACGGCGCACACCACCAGGGAACTGGCTGAATATCTTCTCAAGACGCTCTACAGTATTGACATCTGCAGGGATACTGGGCACAAACACAGTGCGGGCTGCTACGGTGTTTGCATACTCTGGACTAAGTAAGTATTTTCTTCTCAAGTTGATGTATATACGCGTTTCACGAAAGGTGTAGTACCAAACAAGAGCTAGTATCATACAATGTGTCAAAAGCGTGCTAAATCATTTCATGGGTCATTGTTATTTATACCTGACAAAAGAATAGCCAATAAACAATTGGCCCATGTACGATGACTGTCTATGATATTTCCCATCGTCAAATAATTCAATCCACTCAACTGGCCCTGATTAATGGTGATAACGGGGAATAAAATAGGAATGGCAACGAGCGAATAGATGCTGAAGGTAACCATGCCCATACGAAGAAGCTTTAGGACCATGTATCGATCAAGGCCCATACTTTTGATAAGCTGCTCATCCGGTATTCGTAATAGAGCAAATATCCATTTTATATAACCTTTCGGCAATGGTGGTGGGCGTCTCCTACAGATAATGGTTACTATAAAGAAAGAAAGAAAAAAAAAAAGCAAGGTTCTTTACTCTTTCTCAACTGCATAACTTCTTGGTGAATAAGTTTGTGGTCTTGTTGTTCTTAGAATATTGAAGATGCCAAAGAAACCAACAGCTAATACCGCATTGAACCACAAAGCTGAAGTGAAGGTACTCGTTGAATTATCAACACTAAAATGGGAGTTTAGCTCTTGATGTGTTTTTATTTTTAATTTTTATTTACTCGATCTGATCATTTCTTGTATCACTCATTCACTACGCTTGTGAGAATGAAAACACAAAAAAAAAGGTAAAATGGTTTGAAAAAAGGACGTTGCCTTTTATAAACAAACTTTTTAGCAAGTGGAAATGCATGTTTAAAAGGCCGACAGATATTCTTTTTTTGGCTTGCGTCGTGCAACCCACATCAGTATGAAAAGGTAGTAAATTAACAAGCAAGTCATGTCTACGTCATTATCCACAAAGGCCCAGTTTTACCTGAACTTAAAGAAGAGCTATGAATCCAAAATATGCCAAATCAAATCACTTAGTGTTGAAGACCGTTTTTGATCCATACGTTAGTGTAACACACTTATTTTAAGCTACTTCTAAAGACATTTGCTTGATAACGTTGCTAATTACGACTATGATTATACACTCATCATTTTACTAAAAGCTACATTATCCTCTGCAAAGTACAATGGCACTTTATACTCACTCTTTTCAAGAGAGAGGGGCAACACAAGGAGACATGACATTCATTTCCTTTTTAATTCTTGTAACCGCTTCAGTTCAGATCAAGCGTTCTAAAAAAATTTTTTTCTAGTTTGCCAAGGCAAAACAGACTGGAAAAAAAAAAAGTTATGCAAAAGCAAATTGGTTTTATGCATGCGAATTGAATGCTAGGAGTGCATTATTTATATATCGTACTTTCTATATATCTTGAGGCAGCTCATTTGGTCATAATGGGTGATGCGTTGTCACACACTTTTCAGTGTAACTTGGATCATAAGGATCGTCGATGAAATGGACGTTAAGCTATAATTCATGCGCTGTAGGGATAATATGAGAAATCAGTAAGTATTTCTCACATATCATGAGATTTAACATTAGACTGCGACTCATTGATTAGCTCTGTATCATTATCAGTTCAAATGTCTCAAAACGCAATCGTATTGGTTGTATTTTTGACAGGAAGGAGTATATTTTGTTAATCCATTTAGCTCATGTCCGGGGACAGTAACGATTGCACTATTTTGTAAGTTATTTATTACCAGTCACTCCCAAGATGAAGAAAGGTTTCTTTGCTTATTCTTACCAAATAGCTTAGGATATTCTGATAAGTGTTGTATACTGTAACTACCCTACGCATTAAACAACTCTCTTGCGAGTGCTATTACTCTTGGTCTGAGGTTAAAATCAGATAGCAACCTTAAAATCAGGCATGGCATTTACCCCTTAACTTTAAGGACCAGTTATGTGTGTTGATCCAAAATTTTCTATGTTACCTTATGTAGAGTAACCGAAAAACACCATAGTACTTTATCTAAACATCTTATTGAATATGCCTATTTGTTCTTTATCTGCGCTATACTTAAATGTTAATAGATGCATAGGAAAAAGTCTCAATATATGATTCGATTCTTTTTTAATCAATATGTAGATGAAAGCTTGACTGTTGTCTCAAGTAAAGAATAAAAAGATTCCATATTGCTTACTATTAGATACTCGGAATGCAATAGTATTATACCACAGATAAACGATTAGACTATATATATTATTCTGCTTATGATGAATAATGTAATAATCCAAAATAAAGCGCATAATTCCTTTTCTATTGTCTACCTGTCTTATTGTTATTTTTAATAGAAAAGGTAATATTTAAATAGGATTGCAGGGGGGACACAATCATGCCCTTCAGGTACCTTGCAATTATCCTCGGGTTTCAAAAAGGACCAAAGTAGCCTATGAAAAGTGGCCTATGAAACATCCCGTATGTTGACATGAATTGGCTTTCAATTATATTACATAATCATGACATGAAGGTCAAATGGCTAAACATTTCAACGTAGTTTTATTGGACATACAAAATAACCTCTTCTTTAAAGGAAAAGCATTACCTTTTTAAACTTTTAGAATGGTGGGGGAAAGTATGATTTTTTGGGGATATTTACAAGTTGAGCTTTTCTCTCAAGGTATTTTCAAGTTTAATACCATCCTTTGCAAAGTTACGAATACCTTCACCCAACTTTTCAGAAGCCATGGCATCTTGGTTCATTTCCCAACGGAAGGCCTTTTCGTTGTTGAAGAAAGTGACTTTTTCGAGAGAAGCAGCTTGAGCATTTTCAGGGCTTAACTTGCGTTCAATCTTCTTATCGGCCTTCTTCAATTCAGCCAAAAGAGCAGGTGAGATAGTCAAGAAGTCGCAACCGGCCAATTCCTCAATTTCACCTGTGTTACGGAAAGAGGCGCCCATCACGATGGTCTTGTAACCAAACTTCTTATAGTAGTTGTAAATCTTGGTGACAGACTGGACACCAGGGTCTTCAGAACCAGTATAATTCTCGCCAGTACTCTTCTTGTACCAATCCAAGATACGTCCGACGAAGGGAGAGATAAGAGTGACGCCGGCTTCAGCACAGGCAACAGCTTGAGCAAAACCAAACAATAAGGTCAAGTTACAGTGAATGTTGTGCTTGGTTTCGAGAATGTGGGCAGCTTGGATACCTTCCCAGGTAGAAGCAATCTTGATCAAAATACGATCTTTGCTGATACCATTCTCTTCATACAACTTGATAAGGGCAATAGCCTTGTTGACTGTACCTTCAACGTCGAAAGACAGACGAGCATCGACTTCGGTAGAGACACGGCCAGGAACGATCTTTAAGATTTCGGTACCAAAGTTGACCAAAAGCTTATCCATGGCCAAACCAACCTTTTCTTCATCAGAACTATATTTAGATGCTCCCGTCAATATTTACACGCGCTCGTTTTATAATTAAAAAACTTACCCGCCCTTAGCCTTAGCATATTCGATAGCTTGATCCATCAAGCGTGCATATTGTTCCTTTTGAGTAGCAGCCAAGATTAAAGAAGGGTTAGTGGTAGCATCTTGAGGTTTATATTGATCGATAGCTGCATCACGTAATGGTAAGCAAAAAAGAACAAGAGAATAACAATAACGCGTCAAGTAGATATACTTACATTCAAAGTCACCAGTGTCAGCAACAATAGTCGTGAATTGTTTGAGTTGTTCAAGAACAGACATTTTGAGAAAAAAGGGTATGTGAAAGAAAAGAAAATATAAAACGGCTTCCAAGTGAGTAATATATATATTTTTCCGTCATAGACTGAGATTAAATTTAGATAATGACTGCAAGTTGCTATGTAAGCGCAGGTAAAAATATACGATTGGTTCAATTTTCATCTATTGTAAATAGACTTATAATTGTCATTATCCTTTTCCTTTTTTATCTTGACTTATGCTTATATATTTATTTAGACCATAGCCTCCTTCTCTTCTTGATCTGATTACTCTTTTTTATCAAAAAGGGTCAACTCTTCAAAGCTTCACAGCAAATGTGACTGCTATCTAAACACAAATCATCTTGATTGCATAAACAGCTTACCAAAAGGATGACTAATTTTAATAATAAACCTTTCTCTTTTTTTTTTTTTTTTTTACGAATAATAATGTGGTTACTTTTATGCTAGAATTTGTTCTTTATTTTATTGACAATTTGCAATGCAATGTCATAATACTAGTACAGTAGTTTATTGACGAAAGAATTCTGTACGCTTCCACCAGTTTGACAAGACATCATCTTCAAAGAGATCCAATAAGTGAGAGTGGAATAAGTCAGGTCTTATAGCATTGAGCATAACAAAGGCAGCTGCAAGTACGATATCAGAATATCCCGCTATAGATAGTTATGGTTAGTCATCAATAGAAATGAGACTGTATCATAATTACCTTTCTCTCCAGTAACAAAAGGATACTTTTGAAGTACAGCATGGACAGGGGTCAAAGCCTCCTTTAATGCAGGCTTATGATCGTCAGGATGTCCAGCGAACTTCTCCAAAGGCATACCAATCAGCTTTTCGCGATCTTGACGGTGCCACTCTTTGTCAACACTGCGCTCTTGAATATCAAGAACAACTAGTTTGTAAAGATTGACGGTGATATTTTTATAACTATAGGTTTCAAAGAATTTGTGAACACCCGGATTGCCATTAAAAACAGAGGGTTTATCTGGAAAAGCTTCTTCAAGATAGTTAGCAATATCCCAAGATTCTCGAATGCCCTTTCCATCGTTCACTATGACTGGTACAGTGGGTCTTCCTTCATAAGGGCTACGTTACGCTTTGTTAAATCAATTTTTTGATACTTATTCGCTATGCACTTACACAACTTTGGGTATAATTTCTTTCAGGCTTTTAAAATTTACCCACTCTGTATGATAAGGGATACCCTAATGCTATGATATTAACTAATGGTCATGATAAACTTTTGTCAACTTACCTTGAAGTTTAATGTGTATCTGGTCTTGGCTGTATTTGGAGAAAACACGACACCTTCTAAACCTTCGAGTTCCAAGTCATAATACGTAATATTCGTCATTTTGTCACGAGAAAATATAAAAAGAAAGAATGAGGGCTTTATGATCAGGATGCGGCTATATATACATTTATATTCGCCAGAGTTACACATGCCCCATTTATACAAGATTTGCGGCTGAGATTTTTGTGATCTTTTATTTCTCTTCACCGTTTTACCAAACAAGCGTACACCAAACCTCTGGGGCTATGTCCCTAGCTCCGTGATCAAAAATTTTTGATTTGAAGCCTAAGACCCTGTATTCGATCCCACAAACCGCTCCGAGTAGCTTGCTCTTGAGGGTTTTAATGCCACTTTCTATAGGGAAATAAACAAATTATGAATAGCTGCGGCACCCGCCCAGGTTGGAATTTGCATGAATCCTAACACCACCGAGTCTTTGCTTACCAATTATAATAATAATTAGCTTATCTCCCTCCACCCACCCCATCCCCCTTCTTTAAATTGTATGTTTTCCCTCCACCATCAGTACCCTTCCATCCCCATACATTATACGCCCCCACTTTGTTGAACGTGCCCAGGCAAATTAATATAAAAAATACTGCGTGTCCAATGAGTTTAATAAATAAAAGATTGTTTAATCGTATACCAAACTTCTCTCTAAGGTGGTTCCCATAGCGCCTGCATCGCCTGTAGCCTAATCATGTTTGTAACTGCTCTTGTGCTTTTGATTCTTGACCTTAACAGGATTTCTTGGCCTCTCCTTTCTTTGTCAGATCCTGTTGGGACGGAACACGTGTTTAAGTTCCGTGTTCACGCACGTCTACCATCTACATAGCCGCGCGTCCTTGCTGACGTGTCAATAATTTGAGCATTTCTACTAATAGAACGTAAGCACTCTTTACTTTGTATACCGATTGCTTCCAAACGAGCATAATAACAAACATCAGGAGCATGAATAGCTATGGAACAAGTGAGGATTTGTTCCAAGTGAGTCAAAATAGTATTAAAGTTTGCTTACCATGTTCAACATAGTCTTCTTTTAGAAATCTATTAACTTTATAAAGCAATTTGTAGTCAATAGTAAATCTTCAATGCAAGGACATTCATATATTGATTAATAATACAGTAACCACATGCACTTTTATATATCATCTTACTTTAGCTGTTTATGCTCAAATCTTTATACTATCTTTGAGTTGTTCTTTTATAAATAAAATGATCTTTGGGACTAATATTTACCTCAGAATAAAACCAATGACGTTTCCTGTATTGTTAAAAAACATTCCTAGCTTGCTCATGGCACTAGTTTTATTGTACCAGTCATGTTATTCCTTTTACCGTGAGAAGCATTGCATTGTAGAGAAGTGTTTCCTTTTATAGATGATGAAATGATATTTTTACACAATTCATTGGAAGAGTAGGTCATATTATTCATTTTCATTACAGTTGTCTACATGATTGCCAGCTAGAAGTAAAGAAAAAATACCAACGCATGCTGTTTATCTTGGGAGATAGTATCATGGTGATAAAGCCTATTCAGTTACCATGTACTTCTCAGTATTCAGATTTCTTCATAGATTAATATATGCACAACTTATTTTTCTCTCTGCGCTTTTGCACTTTCAGAGCATGAAGATATTTCCCATTTAATATAAATAGCCCTTAATCATTTATATATTTTCTTTTCTATATCTATTTCAATAACGAGCTCTGTACTGTATCATTCTTAATGGACTCTGCTGAAAGTTATAAATGAACATATTCAATACACCCATAGATATAGACGCAAAGAGTGTGACAATTTTAGCTTTTAATTACTATATGGTGTAAAAGCTATATCATTTAGAAATGTTTGTTACATTTTACTGCTTGTATTCGGATAATATGACACAAGAATCTTTTAATTTATATTTCAGTAAAGACCAGTTATGATTATGGCTAAATTTTCAAATTATGCAACGCCTTTAACAGTGAGAATGTTGGTGTAGCTGTAATTACAATCCTCTCATTAACTATGAGAATTTCTTGTAGTTTTAGTATAAATACAGCCGTCGTTGTAATCAACAATAGAATTAGCACATCAAAGAATAAATCCATTAGTTAGATCCCGACGATGACCCCTTAGACAACATGGTGTTGTAGTGTAGAAAACAGAGCGGTTAGAATCATAATCAGCCATAAGTACATTCATCAAGCATGCAGACACAAGTTATGCAGCAGACTTTCAAATCATTGAATATAAATATCCTTTTTACGGGAGTTTGATATTACCGAATAAGAGTCCTAAAAGCATTGTCCTATCTTTTTGATAATATAAAACAGCCGTAAATTTCTGCTTGCATATCTATTTTCTTTTATACTCTCAATTCTCATGCTTAAAGCTTTATTGAAAACATAGAAGATATTAGAGTAGCATTATTGAATAATAGCTAATCATAAGACATTGTAAATAATATTGAATTCCTCCTAGCACAGCTTTCAAAATGGGAAATTTTGGCTGGAAAGTTTGAAGGAAATACTACTTAGGGCAGCGTGTTTGGATCTCCAGGGCTTTTTAAAAAAACTCAAAAGCGTCCCAAGCTCATAGCCTTCTTTTATGAGTAGCTAATGTTATTGGATGAATTTTTAACTCTTCATTTGTATTCAAGCTCTAGCAGGATATGCGAGGCTGTAAGCCATCAGCGCTATCATAGACTAAATTGTAGCAGTAGACCTCAGCGTTTTAAAAGGAGTCTTATTTAAGCAATAGGGGGCGAAATGTTCGCAGCGCATGAGATCGAAATCCAGCTTTGTATACTGAAGCGGTGTTGTCTTATTAGATTTTATTGTCAATTAGAACAAGTATATGGGTATCCTTTCAGAATGGATTGCTTCTGTGACAAAGAACGCTCTTGCTAGCAAGTCATATTTGTATTGCCGTAGTCTGTTAGATGCAATAATGTTTATTGCACTTGTGAGCAAATCCATACATCTTACATACATATTTGCTATAGAATAACTACACTAGTACTGTTTTTATTATCAATCATCTCGCTCTTCTCCTGTTAAATCCGTATAAAATGTTGTTATATCTATAATTTTAATTATTACTCAATGGATTCTCTATTACTGTAGCACTCCTTTTTGGAGGATCGCTTGTAAGCCTATAACGAATGCTATTTGCACAATTGTTAGAGTTAATATTAAGTAAGCATAGCAACAGAGAATTTACTAACATATAAAGGCTCTATTATCCAATCTTCATCTTTACATTTAAACACACTAGCTATCCATTAACCGTAAAAATTACAAACTTTATCCAACACAGTACAAAGAAGATCGTGCCATTTAGAGTTAAATTATGGGACACCTGAGATTATGATATAAGGCCCAAATTCTACATATGCTGTGTCCTAAAAGTAAGAATAGATAGGATGGGGGTTACTATAAGTAATGGGTAAGAGTTGACGCTTGCCCTACAGGCAAATTAATGACGAGTATATCTTAAACCTGTGAAACGTTTAACCGAGCAAACCTACAGGATCCATACCACAACGTTATCTACGCGCATAATGAAAATAAAAAGATTAGTCTCGTTTTCTTTAAATCCCATTAAATCATCTATGCATGTATACTTTATATATGCCTTGCAAGTACAATCACTTTGTCTATATCCAAAAATCAATAATAACAAAAACACTTGCAAGAGCGGATTACTTTGTTACATACTTGTATATGTTACACCTGGACAATAAATTAATGGTTGCATATAATACTTTGCATAAGATCGTGTGCTTTGTACAGCCTTATGATGTATGTCTTTACTAACGTATACTAATATACATATGGAGAGCGTAATCCTTTTAAAGCATTCAAAGCTATTCATCTCCTTCAAGCGAATGCTTAGTAATGACGTATTCATCCCATTTTGACAACCAAGGCTATTTTTTTCAATACTATACCATAAAGCGTTACCCTGACTGTATGACAGGTACAAGAGCATGTGCAATAAAAGATTTAATAATTACCATATCAGCCAAAGGTTGCAATCAGTTCTATCATAACATTATAATTGAACGTGATAGAATAACACCTTACAAGTAAGTCAAGGATATTATGATACTGAACTTGCTACCTTCGACATAAAATATTTTCCGCGGCAATGCCTGTAAGTGACTTTAAGTAACATGGATACCAACTACTTTTTCTACAAATGAGCTGTCAACTTGACCTTACGACGTATTCGCTCAAGTCGTTTTTCTTGATACTACTGATGCTTACTGTACTCAATAGTGATCATGCCATAATCTATATACATCTGGCCTGGGTCAATAAAACGATAAGATAAAGGCGAGTGTAGCATATGTGTATCTGTGCAATTGAAGTCAAGCTGCATACATAGCTCATGAAATTCATATACCTTTGTATGCAAGAATACGCTTATCTTTTCTTACAAGTATTCTTTATATAGAAATTTCTTTCTTTTTCGACAGTTTATGTTCATTATCATCTTAATATCAATTGTGAGTTCTGTAGGACAGTTTGACTTCTCATCATTTTACCATTTATGGATAATTTTTACCTCCTTTGTGCCTCTACATCTCATTCAATTACTTTGTTCAACCTTGAATTAAATAAAGATACAATTTAGGATAAAATGTCTAAATCGAGTTCATAATCGGTTAAAGTTATTATCAGTAATGCTTGAAGCTCTTTACTTCGCGTCGATATAAATAAGAGCATCCATTCCAAGCTTCCTTTTTTTTTCTCTCATCAAAAAACATTTCCTTTCTTTTTCCAAACCATTCATTCTAGTAATGAAATTCACTCTGATCTCTTCCTGTATCGCTCTTGCCTTTGTGGTCCTCGCTGTTGAAGCTGCTCCTGGTGGCAAGAAAATTAACGTTCCATTGACAAAGAACGAAAATTATAAGCCCAGTGCCAAAAAGTCACTCCAAAAAGCCATTGCCAAATACACCAAGCACAAGCTCTCCACTCAATCTCCTGGCGTCTCCCCTGAAAGTGGTGGAGCAGTTCCTGTAACTGACAGTGGTAATGATGTTGAGTACTATGGTATCGTCAAGGTTGGTACTCCTGGTGTTGACCTCAGACTCGACTTTGACACTGGTTCTTCTGACTTGTGGTTTGGTAAGTTATTGTAAAAGGTGTGTAAGGTATTGCGTGTTTAATGTGGAGTATAGCTTCAACTCTCTGCAGCGATTGCGGTTCAACTCAAACCCGTTACGATCCTTCCAAGTCTAGCACTTATCAAAAGGATGGTCGTCCTTGGTCCATTCAATATGGTGATGGTTCTACTTCCAGTGGCATCTTGGGTACTGACACTGTCGAATTGGGTGGTCTCACTATCAAAAAGCAAACCATCGAATTGGCCAAGACTGAATCTGATACTTTTGCTAGTGGAGAAATTGATGGTCTCTTGGGTCTTGCCTTTGATTCCATTACGACAGTCCAAGGTGTAAAAACACCTGTCGACAACTTGATCAGCCAAGGTCTCATTTCCTCTCCTATCTTTGGTGTCTTCCTCGGAAAGGCTAGCAACGGTGGTGGTGGTGGTAAGGGCTATAAGAAAGAATTCGTCGTACATGAGCTTATTCCGACTTTATCTAGAATATATCTTTGGTGGATACGACTCATCCAAGATCAAGGGAGAATTGACTACCGTCCCCATCGACAATTCTCAAGGCTTCTGGGGCATCACTGTTGATGGTTCTTCTGTTGGGGGCCAATCTGTCACTGATTCCTTCAGCGCCATCCTTGACACCGGTACCACTCTTTTGGTCTTCCCCAATGATGTTGCCTCTCAGATCGCTCAAGCATACAATGCTCAAGATAATGGTGATGGTACCTATACCATTGACTGTGATACGTCCAACTTGCAACCCCTTACCTTCAGTATTGGTGGTGCTGAATTTGAAGTTCCTTCTGATTCCATCATTTTTGAACAAGATGGAAATAACTGTATTGCTGGTTTCAGTTATGGTGATCTCGGAGGCTTGTCTATCTTGGGTGATGTATTCTTGAAGAACAACTACGTTATCTTTAACCAAGAAGTACCCGAAGTCAAAATCGCTCCTTCCATTAACGCTTAAGAGCGTCTGACATATTTATTTAAATAAACTACTTTTATCTCCCTATAGTAAAATCATAAAGGAAACCCTAGAAAGGTTGTTCTTTTCTTTTTTTCATTTTCATTTGTTATCAATTCATCTGTTCATGGATTTATTCAGACCTATTCGCCATGCCTCTAAGTAACAAGGTAATGGTCGACCGAGGCATGTGTCGTCATCTCTCCAACAGCGAATGCGTCGGAGGTTGATCGTTAAATAGCCGATGGAAAGGTTCATCATTATTTCCATGAAATGGAAGGATCGGAGTTGCATAGAATGAATAAGAAGAGTCCTTTTCAAAGAGAGAAGAACTCGAGTTAAGTTATGGGCCTTGCAATAAAATATTTATCGTTGTCCGAGAAATAAAACAATTGATTCTTTTTTTTTTTTTATTATCTAATGACGAACACTCATCCAGACATTGATTATGCAAACAAGGTTATTCTTGCACCGATGGTAATTATTTAGACAGTAAATTAATAAACAACAACAATAATGAACAAAAATAACATTGATTTAAGGTACGAATCGGTACTTTGCCTATGCGTCTATTGGCACTCGAATATGGAGCAGGTAACCAAAAAAAGAAAAAAAGAAAAGAGGTTATTGACATGACATGTAGATTTGGTTTGGACAGAAGAATTAGTGGACAAGAGAATTATTGGATCTGTTCGAGAATATAATGGTACTCACATATATTTTTTGCTTTGGCTTGTATTATTTAACACATTAGCGTAGAAGCTACAGGAACTATTGATTATCGTAAAGGGAAATCATTGACATTTAGCACTCATCCCGACGAAAAGGGCAAAGTTATTCTTCAACTCGGTACAGCAGATCCCGATCTTGCCTTACAAGCTGCCTTAACACTCAAACAAGATGTAGCAGGTGTTGATCTCAACTGTGGATGTCCTAAGAAGTTTTCGGTCCAAGGAGGTATGGGCGCTGCCTTACTGACCGACCCAGATCGTCTCTGCAAGATCTTGGAAAACCTCATCTGTCACACAGGGATGCCAGTGACTTGTAAGATTCGCTTGCTTCCAACCCAGGAGGATACCTTGAAGCTTGTTAAAAGGATTACTGCTACCGGGATTAAGGCATTGACGGTGCATTGCCGCACAAAGGAGATGAGATCGACCGAGAAAGCATTATGGGAGAGATTAAGAGAAGTTGTAGAGGCTGTCAAGTCTGTAAGAGATATACCCGTGACAGTCAATGGTGATATCTTTCAATACGCAGATGTTGAAAAGGTCAAAAAGCTGACACGTAAGAAAATCGACAGAAGCAAAAGACATGTATTAAAAATATTTGTGAATAGATGCTGATTCTGCAATGATCGCTAGAGGTGCTCAGTGGAATCCGTCTGCTTTTAGAAAAGAAGGACTGTTACCATTTGGTGAAGTTGCTCGTGCTTATATCAAAAAGGTCGGTTTCTCCCCCCTTTTTTTTCTATCAATAAGATCATAACATACCTTATAGTGCGTCGATACTGAGAATGTCTTTCAAAATACAAAGTATGTTATCCTGTGCATGAATACTGAGGATTCTGATCATACAAGATCCGAGTTATATCGAAACATGCAGAAATCAAAGTCAACAGAAGATTTGTGGTAAGAAAGAAAAAAAGAGTCACATTTTATCAAGAAACTAATGTCTTCAAGCCAAATTTTCGGATTAATGGACTATTACCGAAAAGTGACCAGCGAACAACAGGCTAAACGGAAAACTGAGAATGACAAAACGGAGAATGAGAATAAACGTGAAAGAGACGATGAAGACAAACAAGAAAGTCAAATAGAAAAGAAGTCAAAATCAGAATAGACGGTGATTAAAAAAGTATTTGTATAGTAAATTAATAAAAATGTGTAATGTGTATCTTAAACTATACGCCTTGAACGACTCTTGGCCAAGTCTGGCGAATGCTTTCATAAAGCTCAGGCTTTGATCTAATATCCCAAAAAATAAATCAGTACATGTATACATATACATTATCTCCTTCTTTACCTCCTCAAAGCATCTGGATCTTCTGCAAGACAAACAAAAGTAGTAGCCACACCACTCGAAATCACAGTCGCAACGGTTGAAAACATGGAAGCACCGATCAAGAAGCACATCATGATGATGACAGGCGTCATGCCTCCATTAGCATTATATGGAGGTTTGCTTACTTCCAGATAAATGAATCCTAATAGACCAGAGAGAACACCTACGAGTAATCCGCCCATAAACAGGACATTACCAATTAAGTTGTCATTGATCATGGCTTCAATGCCACGGTCCTTGACCATGTTCCATGTGTTTCGAGCTGTAGGAATAAACGGTTTACCGTAGATTGCTACGCCACTGAAAGCATAATAAGTGAACCATTCCTAGGAAAAAAAGAAGTCAGGATATAGGTTTGTTTGATGGCTACACACTTACAAATAGTCCAGCAAAGCAGTTGACAATACATTGGATGATGCAAATAAAGAATGCAGCACATGCATTATCCGTATTGGATTGAGCCACGCGTAAAAAGAATCGAACCAAGTTAATGAGGGCAATCAAGAGAGATCCAAAACAAATAGAACCAAAGCTAGTGGTCAGAGCGCGTTTGGCACTGCCCCAGATAGGATGTTTGATACCGTCGTTTAGGAAATAGACGGTGGCAAAGAGTCCCGCGAGCGTAACATGAGTTACATAGGTAATCACTTGTGAGGTCCAATAAAACGAAAAGACCAAAAAGACCATGGCACAATTCAATCGAGAGTTATTGCTACTTGAGCTGTACCATGCTTGATAGATGCCAATGACGGTAAACATAAACCAGAATGAGAATGCGGTTTGAATGATGAGTGATAGGATACCAATGAACATAGTGCTTGGATACTTTCGAGTGATGTCCACAATGGTCTTTAGCATGACTGTCAACTTTTGGTTAGTTTTAGAAATAAAATACGAAATATGACTTGCCTGTTGCAAAAGGGATTCTACTTCTCCACCAAAAAAAGCAAAGAGCATAAAGACACGAAAAGATCAAAAAGACGATGGCTGCTGAGTAATAATGTCTAACAAAGTAATAGATTGTCACTCCAAAGTAAACAATGATCGATCCAATGAACGTGATGTAGATCAATGGTCCTGGAAACCTAATGAGTCTTGTAAGAAAAATGACACATTCCTTTGTCATTTTTTTATATTTTACATGTTGGCAATAATCAAATATAATAAACTTATACCAAATCCAACTACAGCCGCGTATCCAAAGATGACAAAAGTAGATGTATCAAAGGTTAATCCAGAATAAGGGTTTGATGATTGGACACCCCCGTAGGTCGTGCCATGGCTATTGTATGTACTAATGGCAACAACAGCTAATCCAATAAATGCACCCAAATTGAGTAGCCAAAGTACCGTAGCCCAGACATCATTCCATCCACTCGAGGGTTTGATGCCTTTATTGGGTTCTTCGGAATAAGGTGCTTGCTGTTGGTAGGATGTATTATAATCTGGTGGCGGATACTGTTGTTCTGGCGGTGGGTAATAATTTTGATTTTGTTGCATTGTCGGAGGTGGTGGATAATACTGTTGTTGTTGTTGTCCTTGTTGTGGCTGATACATGTTCTTTGTTTTCTCTTAAAGAAAGAAAAGTAAGAAAATAGAAATGGGCTTAAAAATTGTAGAGGGCGAAGGTAACACAAGGCATTGTTATTGCATAAAGTTTGAGTTTAACAAATCAAAATCGCCGTTTAGCCAGTTTGTATCTATGGTTGCTGTTGCTAAAGCAGAAGAATCTAAGCATGAACTGATATCAAATGTATTGTCTTGAAGAAGGTCAATTGGATTCATCCAAAGTGTTTCTGGATCAAATAAATCAAATGGGATGAGAGATGACATCATATCCATTGATGGACTTCCAATTGAAGATGAATCACTTTGTGACATATGATTCTGTAGAAACGTCTGAATATCTAGTTTAGCGGCCTCTGATATGTCCGATGTCTTCCAAGCATCTCGACGTGATAAAATGACATCAATTGTCTCTATATATTGACGAACAATCGGCGTTGGTTCTAGTGTGTAGTGGTTCATCAAAACGATCGATGCGGCGTCTAAAGTAGATAACATCAAACCACGAGGTAAAAGGCCAGACTGATAGAGGCTTGCTGAATTGCTGTTGAGAAAATCATTTGTCTTATTGACGATAGTCATAGCATTGGGTAATGCTTGATAGATGCACCGCACATTTTCTGGATCAGAAAGATCCAGACGAGGCAATGAGGACGGAGGCTGTTGAATCTTGAAGTGTTTACTCCCTAATGTTCTCTTCAAGAATAGCAAAGTTATGGCGAAAAAGTAATGGAATAGCTCGAGAGTAAATGTTTGAAGCTTTGACATCTGTTGTTGTTTTCGTTGTATAAAACCGTAAAGATTATTCAAGATATGCTGTATTTCTTGTTCTACCGATTCATTGTCTGTTTCGTGTGGTAACGTAAATATGATCATGCAGCATGTCTTTGCAATTACGGATTGGACATAGAATGTTTCTACAATATAATCATAGTGTCTAAATGCTCTAGTGTTTCCATTCTGAGTGTCTAATTGATACGATAGAGATTCTCGTACGTTCATGGGTGGATACGGATGTAATTGATGGCCAAGAGCAACACGTGGAATCTGCACAACTGCAAAGAATAAACATTAGCCCCAAGCTGTCTTTCTTTTTCCTTTATACTCTATCTTACGTTCAACGCATCCCCGAACAGTACATTGAAATATCGCCCAAAAAGTAACAAGCAAAAGTTCCTTTTCGACCGGTGTCAATCCTGGAGGTAAAGTGTTGTTAAACAAGCCTAACTTTTCTGCAATCATGTACGAGAGTGCAAAGAGAGATGTTCCCTTTTTAGCATATCCAAACGTGATCTCAAACAAGCCAAGCAGAACAACAGCCTGATAGCGGCTTAAGGTTGCCTCTGCCGACGCTTTTGAGAGCAACACGTGAGCATAATCCAAGAACGGATTACGGCTACTCAAATTCTCCTTTCTCCACAGCAAAAGCTGTTGTCCCTCCAAGATGGGAGATAAAAAGAGAGTGGTGCCGTAGATGACAGACAGCAAGATTGGATCGGCTGTATCTGTCCAGTAAGCCTGAAGGAGCATGGTTTTGTTAATCATGATGGAGTATGGGTGAATGTGAAAGAAATAATCGATCAGTCGTAGTGCCTGGTGCGGCGGTAATGAATTGAGCGGATTACTTATGATAAGTGCTGAAGAAGGTGGTTCAAAAAAACTTGTTGATGGGTCATTGTTGAGTGCAGTGGCTACGAATTCTATACAATTATAGTAAGACAGCCTTAGCCGAGATAGACGTTGTGCCATAATGGCTGAAACGTCAGCACTCATCCAACTAAAATATTGTGCTAAGTCGTCAATCTGTAAATCGACCTGTCTATGCGTCTTTTTCAATATTGTCTTTGATCGCATCGGACGCTCCTGAGGGTTTGTTGAAGAATTTAATAATTTTACAAACTTGCTGGTTTCAGGTAAAAACTGCTGGTTATATAAATAAGTGAGATAATAATTGAGGCCCTGAGACTTGTTATCCTTCAAGTATCGCGTAGGGGAGAGATTGGAGACATGTTCAAATATAAATTCTCGACATCTTGCGTTATCAGGTCGAGCCAAGATAAATTTATTTACAACTGCATTCTTGGGTGGTCGACCGACTTGCCCTGGCTTTGCATATATACATTCTGTGTTTTTATATTTACATCGTTCACATGGATTGCCTCCATCACATTTTAGTTTCTTGGAGCGACAGCTGGAGCAGCTAATCTTTCTTTTTGACATGCACAGCCAAGATTAGAATATTAAAAAGAAAAGTGTGTCTTGGCATATTTTTTTTTCTCTCCGAAAAAATGAAAAAATCATTGGATCACAATAAGATCAAAGGATTAGTAAGCAAATGGAAGGCAGGAAAGAAGAAGCAGAGAAAACCAAAATGGCCATTGCGAAGTTTGTTTGATCATCAAAAGAATTTGTTAAAATGTAATAAGAAAAAGAGAAAACAGAGGAGAAAAGGGCTAACAACTTACAGTTCAATCTCCAAAATTGTTAAGGAACGAAAGAAACAATATAGTCAAAAGGCCGCTTTATATCCGATTATCAAAGAAAAAGAAAAAATTGACGAATAAAAAGAGAAATAGCGTTCAGAGGATAAGCAGTGTGTACAAGAAGAAGCTAGACACAAAATGGTTACAGATCAGACGACAGGTTGAAATGATCAAGATGCCAAGTGATACTGCCTTTCCATATATACCTCCATCTGATCTCTTACCTGCAGACAATGTAGTGCCTCAGTTGATTCATAATGCTATACTTGGTATCAAGGGAAAGCAACACTTGCTTGATGCGCAATTATTTCGAATTCAACGTAGCCGGCATGAAATATTAAAATATCAGGTGAAACTACATGAATTAGACAAGGACGTGTCTAGGGCATGGCTGCGGCACATTAATGAAGATCATGCGGATGCATCTCTATTCATAAAGGGTAATCGGACGTTACTTTATGAAGTAGATGTCGATTTGAAATTGATAAAGAAGCGACTTGAAGCAGTTCATTCAATATACATGAATTTACCTGGTCATCTGAACAGGTTGAACAATCAGATTCAGCATGAAAAGTATAAACAATGGATGCATGCATATAAAACATTGATAATTTGGTTATTCTCCATATTTGGTATATCCATCTTTGTGCCCTTAGCGTTCAGTGGCGGCTTTCTAAACAGCCAATAAAATCAAAAACAAAAATAAAAAATCGTCAGGCACATTACTGTTGCTATGGATACTCTAATTGTGTTACCAAGGCAAGACAATATCAAGGGGAAAGTCATTGGGGCGTCAGATCCTATTGATAAAAATGACGTTTTTACTTTTTGTAATAACAAATGTACAAAGGTTTATGTTTACTCTCTTATTTTAAACTTTCTGCAGGAAACTGCATGAAAAGGATATGTAACCCTTCATAAACAAAGCTCTTGTTTGAAAATCCGGGGAAGACTTTTCTTTACATCTCATCTTTTGTACTTGTTTTCCCCCCCAAAGAGGGTTTAATTTGTCAAGTTCCCAGGCCATTCGTCATGGGTGTATAATAATATATGAAGTACATTTATCTTGTAAAAAAAAGCAGAGGTTTTTTTTTATTTATTTATCTGTAGCATGGATAAAACACTTTTTCTTTTTCCTTCCTTTTTTTCTATTTATTCTTCTCTAATCTCCTCTTTTTTAATCCTTCTTTCTTTCTCTGTATTGTATACATTTTAATCATACATCATGCTCGCACAACCTCCAATCACTGTTTTTCCACCAGCAGGTCGTCGTAAGAGTATCCGGCCCATTTCAATGGAAGGTTCCATAACAGATACAAGCAGCCTCACACGGAACACAGCATCTAGTCTTGCTAAAATGGTCATCAAATCACCATCCCCATCACCACAGCCATTAGCTAATAAATCTAAGCGACGAGTGATCAGCAGAAAGCCATCACTAAACAACTTTAAAGTAGATAGTAAATATCTACAAGACGTTTCACAAAAAAGAAGAAGCTCTTGGGCACCAAGCAGTGACCCAGCAATAGAGAAGAAGCCGTCCCTTGAATCCCCTGAGCTGACTCATTCGATAGCACCAAAACAACAATCGATTGAGGTAACTTTGATGTTTCCGAGATAAACATTTGTTTTATATACTTACATAATAATGAATAAAGGCCATACATCATCATGAGTGTGATCAACTGCGAAGGCACATCTGTGCAGGTTGTGATCGAAATGTCATTGTAAATACAGACATACAAAGTAGTACAGCCCATAAACAAAAGAAAGAGTCAGCCAATAGTAACAACAGCTCAACGACGACAACGACAACAACAGCAACGGATGATCATCCTTCGTCACCCATTCCTACATCCACCAAGGAGAAGCTAATACAAGAAGAAGACGAAGAGGAGCGATGGAAGCAATCCTTTTTGAAACAACAAGAAAAGATACTACAGACATTACTTTCCAATCATCATCATATTAACGATTATGAACTGATGAAACTCCAAAGCCAAGTGCTGCAGCTAAAGAACCATACGAATACGACAATGGATCATATCTTAGATATGCAAACGAGCATCCTGGCCAAATTGACGCTTATCCTAAACGACCCTTCCTCTTCTCAACCTCCTAATGCACCTGCATCTCCCCTGATCCCTTCATCTTTTTCTTCTTCTCCTTTACTGTCGTCATCGCCACCAGCACTAAATAATGATGAGTCTATGATAGAGCAAGAAAAGGCACCAGATTGGCAAACTAAATTGGAATATGATCTTGCAAGGTTCAAATGGAGCTTGAATCAATGGTTTGGCAACATTGTTGGCACAGGCAGCATAGGAAACAAAGCTTATAATAGATTCGGTTATACAGAAAACGTGGTAATTTCAGGCATATGTGTCACTACAGAACCTGGATTACTGCCCAAGGTAAAAGAAATGGATCAAGATGTGTCTATTAAATTACACACGACTAAAAATAGGGGAATCTTCCCATATAAATAGAAATTCAAAAAGTATTTTTATTATAGTAAACCAGACATCATTTGCTTAAAATATTCATTTACACTCAATCGAACCCTTCGACATTCACCTCATTTTCGTATAAGAGAACAAGAAGAATGGATACCAGACACAGATCAATGTGAATTTTCATTTTATATGGATGATGAATATAAAAATAGACAAGTACAGAAACGATGCCAAGTAGAGTTTGGGCTATTTCAAAGAAGACATCACTGCAGAAGGTAAAAGAAAACATAAATAACATGATAGTAACACCAGTCTTTAGTTGTGGACATGTCTTTTGTCACAAACATAGCAGTAATCAAATGGCACTCTTCTTTAACAAGAACGGACAAGAACGTGGTGAATGGTGTCGTGTATGTGATGGTTGTTTTTATGAGAGGATGGGCCCTTATTTAACACTGTCATAAAAAATATAAATGAAAAAACGTGCTCCTTTTGATCTTGCTTTTTTTCACCAAATAAAGTTAAATGATATTAGGCATTGGTGTCGATATACTTTATTTACCGCGTATCACCTCGCTTGCCAGTAGAAGAGGAAAGGAAAAACTAGCGAAAAGGATCTTGAGTACAAAGGAATTAAGTGAATTCAACCAATTGAAATCTGTTCATGATCACAATCACATCATGTATTTAGCGACAAGGTATCTTTCCATTATAAATATAATATAGCCTATATTAAAGGTAGAATAGGTGGTGTATAAAGGAAGCAGTCTATAAAGCATTATATCCTATACATAAACTAGAATGGAAACAAGTAACCGTGACCAAAACAGGAGGTATTAATTAAGTCCGTTTTTTCTCATTAGGGCTAATCGTTCATTGTATTATAGGCAAACCAGTGCTGATGATTGAAAATAGCTTACTCTATGGTATTCAACGGACACATGTATCTGTTTCGCATGATGGTGATTATGCTATGGCTCAAGTTATACTCGAAGGGCAAAAGTCCGCCTAATTTCATGAGTTAGTGGTCCTAATATGGGAACATTCAATAATATATATTATACTTTTTCTTATTAATTGTATTCCCCCTTTTCTCTTCTTCTTCTTTCTTTCTCTTTTTCTTCTTTTCTTATAATCCAAAAATATACATGGAAAGATTTGTTATTCAGTAAATAACAAAAACAACAAAAGGGCAACAAACGACAGCAAGAAGAGCAGCAGTAAATATAAATACGATTATATACACACTCCTTTTATATACGAATATATACACATTGATATATTGATACATATTGATATAAATATATATAAATATACCACATACACACACACACATTATATATATTTATATAATAACAAATGACACTTGATTCACCAACAAAACATACTCTTTTATGCTCGAAATGTAATTTACCATTAGGAGATCAACTTGTAAAAGCACTTGATGGCGCCTTTCATCCAAATTGCTTTACTTGCTGGGTAATAACTTGTTATTAGTGTATATGTGTAAATGTGCATCAGCGCTCATTTCTCATAGGACTGTCAAACACCCGTCGCTTCCTGTTACTTACCTCATCCAACCGAACCAGGCAAACCGTTATGTGAACGAGATTACTTTAAAAGGCTCGAGCTTGTTTGTGCAGAATGCGATGAGCCACTTCGTGGAACGTACATTATTGCTCTCGACAAAAAGTATCATCCAAACCATTTCACTTGCAGCGATTGTTCTACTGTCTTTGGACCTGACGACTCATACTATGAGCATGATGGGCATGTCTATTGTCACTTTCATTACAGTACTCGGTTTGCTGTATCCTGTGCTGGTTGCGATATGGCAATCTTGAAACAATATGTCGAGATTGAACGTGGTGATGCAGTAGATCACTGGCATCCGGAATGCTACATGATTCAAAAGGTACAAAGAAAGAGAGAAAGAAAGAAAGAAAAAGACTAACATATTTATTAGTTTTGGAGTGTTAAAATAGCCCATCCTACACTCAAAGAAGGCGATCAATGTCCACCAAGTAAATATATATATATATATACATAATATAAAAGAGAGAGATTTACTAATACTATGACATATAGAATATATACCACAGACACCTTTTGAACTATTCAAGATACAAAAAGATACAGAAGAAAAAGTGGTCAGTATATGGTCTGTTTTATCAGCATTTGAAGGTAGGTTGGTCTGTATGCACATGTGTGTATATTAAATTTGAAACTTATAGAATCTTCGGCCGTATGTATATCTGAAATGCTACTGCATGTATCCAATGGGGCTTATATAGAGAGTATTTGTCTGTCTGAACGATTCCTTGTGCACGTTGAAGCCTTGTTTGCAGGAATCGATAAGATTTGTGTAATCTATAAAGAACATCAACAGTCTGGTAAAAATAACTGTACTTCAACAAGAAAAAGAAATGACTTATACAACTGCTTTTAGAGTTTAAATATAGCCGAGAAGCCAAAATGCTATGTAAAAAGATTATAAACTTCTTTTCTTTACTTTCTCGAACAGGTGATATGGAAATGAAAAAACTTGGTATCACGCAGGAACTGCTATCACTCGTCACAGGATTGGCTCATTACTTGAAAAACCTCATCCGTGTCACTCTGAACGCTGCATTACGCTTGGTATATTAACCTTTAGAAAGAAAAAGAACATGTGTACTAATATATGTACTATAGGAAACATTACTTGGCAAATCAGTGGCCGTTTCCCACTTACTGGCTCGTCTAATGGAAATCCCGGGTAAAGAAAGGCACAGTCGAGATAGTCAACGTCTCATTCAAGCCAGAAACACGGATTACTGCCAAGAATGTAAAAATATCATTGAGGATCAATGTGTGCGATACGGCGATCAACGATGGCATATTACCTGCTTTCAGTGCAAGAAATGCGAACGATCGCTTAAAACAACAAGTGGATCAGTGATGAACGGTCAACTGTATTGTACGACATGTGTGCACGCAAGCCCTTGCACGTTTGATTATGTTTCGAGATTGGCGCAGTACAGCTATCTTTTGAGAATTGCACTGAGCCGACTTTGTAGCCTGTTACAGATTACAGGTAAAAAGAAAGGAGATTTTGAAACGTCAAGAGAAGACTTTACTTACTTTTTTCTTTTAGATTCACAACTTTCCAATGTGGATTATTCAACCAAGTTAAACAGTGCTAAGGCAGCAGCCAGTCATATACTAAAAGATATGCCACCAAACATGCTGAATGCATCCATAGAACTACAACAGATGATGGAAGAACGAGGGCACATGGAAACTATTTATCCCACCGAGATCAAGGATGCCAAAACAGTGTCATCCTCTACCACGCGATTAGACCGCAAGATGTCACGGTCATTCAAAATGGCCAATAAAAGGTCTACTATTCTGGGTAACACTACCTTACCGACCCGAACCGACAGCTTACACAGACGCAGTGTGGGATTGGACGATCTACCCCAGATGGCTGCTGTGGCTGTGAACGCGACAACAACAAACTCTAGAAAGGCGCCTCCTGAAAACATACACATCGCGACAGGCCTTTCTGGCAAGCCTCGTATTTACTTGTCTGAACTATCTGCGCTTCAGTACATGATCATTCGATATGTGGCCGTCGTTCAGATCGAGAGTTATGTACGATCGAGCTTTACCAGCGCAGAACTACTAAATATGGTCGAAACCAAGAAATCATCCATCTGGGGGAAATTCTTTACTCCCTTCAAGGTCAAGAAAAATGTGCAGCCCAAGGCCAAAGAGATAGGAACATTTGGTGTTCCCTTGGACGTTCTTACGGATCGAACCGGCGTGGAATCTAATTTGGCCCTGGGCCCTTCTCCGGTGAGGCTGGCAGCGTTTATTGACGATGCCATTACAGCCATGCGACAAAAGGATATGTCAGTTGAAGGCATCTTTCGTAAAAATGGAAACATCCGAAGACTACGTGAGCTTACAGAGGCACTAGACAAGAATCCAAATGAAGTGGACCTAACACAAGAAAATGCTGTTCAAGTCGCTGCGCTCCTGAAAAAGTTTTTACGTGATCTGCCCGATCCGCTGATGACTCACAGATTGCACGGGCTCTTTATGTGTGCGGACCGAATTCCTGACCCTGACCAACGCAAACGAGCACTTCATCTGGCTTGTTGTATGTTACCAATGACCAATCGAGTGACGATGGAGGTCCTGTTTTTATTTTTCCGATGGGTTGCGACTTATTCACACATCACAGACGAAGTGGGCAGCCGCATGGACATACCAAACCTAGCGCGTGTGATTGCACCCAGTATTCTCACGGCCCATCACAAGGACCCTTTGAAGGATGAGTCCTTTACTGCCATTCGCGTTGTCGAGACAATTTTAGAATCGTGTAACGAATTCTGTTTGGTTCCTGAAGATCTTGAAGTGTTCCTGAAGGATCCCAGTCTGAGTGGGATGGACATGTCACCTCGTGAATTTCTCAAAAAGGTCGAACAAACGGTCAAGCACAAAGGATACTCGATACCACGCTCACCAGATGCACAGCGACCTCCGCCGTCATCAATTTATACACCACAACAATACTTACCCTACAGTAATCATCATCCACCATCTGATTGTATACCACAGCCATTGAAGCCCACACCACAACTAATGCAGCCACCAAGAAGAACAGATAGTTTTAGTAATGCATATAAACCATAAGTTTATTTTCAAAATATGTGTGTGTCTGTGTGTACATATTAAAAGCAAAAAAGGGGAGGCATAAATAATAACTAGTGTTGGTAGTAATAGTAATAGTAGTAGTAGTATAAATAAAAAGAGGTATATATATTTATAAATCGCGTATCCTTTCTACTTTGCCGCATTCCTTCAAATGGCAGCCACGGTACTTGATCAGATACTCACCGTTGGGTCGTGCGGTCACGGTTTTATTGACAGTGCATCCCTGGTTACACATAACGTGAGAATGAGCATGAAATTCATATGTCACCCGCAATATCCCGCATTTTACCTTATTGCTATTTGAGCACTTGTAATAAACACTTTTGCAGCCCGTCTTTTTTTGTACAGTATTGCCGTTGTTCTTCCAAAAGTAGTTGTCGATATAAGGATGCTCTCTAGTCTCTACTATTTTTGTGATTGCCTGCATCTCTCGTCTTCTTCTACTGGATGATTTAACATAGTCATCTTCTTCTGCTACAGGAGAAGGATAGGCAGATGAGATATCTTCAGCGCTACTCATACTACTAATGCTAAAAACGGAAATATGAGAAAAAAATTAAGGAGAGAAATGCATCATCCAGAATTTACCTTGATCGTTGTTGGATAGGGGATAATGGCTGAATGATAGAATGCACTAAAGATTGCTGTTGTTGTTGTTGTTGTTGATTTGGTATCACTGCACCACCACCACCCATGGCCAGCATGGCAGCAGCAGCCGAATGTCTTCTTTTTTCAATCGATTCTTCTTGAAAAGAAGATTTACGTTTTAAAGATTGTTGTTGAAGTAAAAGATCCAATTCTTTTGCTTTTAACTTTGCCTCTTCTGCTCTTCTTTTATCCTCTTCCACTTTGCTTGTCAATATTAATTTTAGCAGATCAGGCTGTGTTTTATATTGTTGAATCAAATCTTGTAAATCATATTTGGCTGTATAAGCATTATCACTCATTTCACACGCACACAGAGAAGGGGGAAATAGGAAAACAAAGAAAGAAAGAAAAAAAAAAAGAAGGAGAGAGAGAGTTGCGTGTGAGGCTTAAATAAAAATGTGGAGATATTTTTTTCATATAAAACCCGGGGTTTCCACAGTTGAATGAAACAAGGGCATTTTTTATTTATAAGCTTATTTAGAGTTCAATTTCCACACATATTCATACAACATAGCCCATTCCCCTTCTCTTTCTATACCTTTTTCCCTATTTTATTATTGCTTTACTGAAAGAATCACTCAGCAATGTCAAATTTATTGTCTCGTTCACTTACTTTCTCATCCCTTTCTGTCCGTTTTGATTTCGTGAACTGAGCTTAAAATTTTACTCTGTCTTTTTCCAATCTTTGCCGTCATTTGCCAGATATGCAACTTGTCAATCGAAAAAAAGACATTAAAAAGCGAAAAGATAAATACGGAATCACATTATCTGATTGCGTTCTATGTAAATATCAACATGTTTGAATTCAAAAGGCAAAAAGGCACAAAAATAACCTCTCGCCACTTTTTGCATAAACGATTATCCATTTTAAATAAGACTAACCAATCAAAATAAATTGTGGGGAAGTCCACAACGGAAACAATGGTTCAGGGCCAGTGTGCGGTTTCAACAAGCGAAATAAAAAGTTACACTATTTTGACAACTGTTGCCCTTGACTCATTTTCATGGCAATGCGGAGATAATTATTTTCCCATAGAAACCATTTATTGGTATAAATTAAAATGAAAGGAACCAGCCATTCAATGAGGGTATTATGATTTTTTAACGGATACATTGCTGATTGCTTTTTTTAACATGGACATCCAAGCATTCTGTTCTGCTTCTGTAGCCGTGCGAAAGATAAGTTGCTGTTTTGATGTTGATATATGAGGTGTGTTAATACCATTAGATAATACAGCGCCAGGAAGAATGGTTCCTGCCGCATTATCAGACAGTGCTTGATCGATTTTCAATTGGAATCCATACACATAGACTATGGGCTGTGGCTCGGTCTGCTTATTACGTTTGAAAGCAGCCGTCAGAACAGACGTTTTTTTACTTTCAGATACCTTGGCGACGATCTGCTCAGACAGTGGTTTAAGCTCAGCATTTCTCAGATTGATGACGCCTTTGTATTGAAGCTTTTGTGGTTGAGGTTTCTTGCCTATGTTTGGTTTGATCTTTTGACCATAGATGAAGTAATCACTGTAAAGTAAATATGTTCTTGTGTCACTCATCGATTGAGCATCCGATAGATCCACTTTGGTCAATAAGCCGGTGATATAAAGTCGTCGCGTGACCGAGACCGAGACCGGGCTGCCAATCATTGATCTCGCAGCCTCCAATGCCCGGATATGTGCCAGCCTATCCTTGATTCTATAGAGGGAAATCATGAGAAAGAGAAGGCAGGGTTTTTTTTTTGTTATAAACTTACAAGGTTCTCCACTGTTTGTCTTGAGCATTGAACTTGTCCCGAATGCGGATCAAGGCTTTGTAATCTGGGTGCGATGGCTCGGTAACAGAAATGATGTGTGATAGAGTGGAAACATACATCGAGAGTCGTTGAATAGGTCGTTTTATATAATATATAATATCTTTCACTTGGTTGTCCGTTTTGGCTGCACATGACTAAAAAACAGTTAAGGTCTATCCGTACAAGAAACAAGAATCATGCCTTACTTCGAGAAATTTGAGAAAGGAAGATGATTTTGAATAGAGCGCGTCAAGTGATACAACCACATTAGGAATAAGTTCCAGATAAGGTTCATACACTGGTATTTTTTCATACTACAAGGGAATGGAGGAGATGTGAGATTGTATAAATATAAATAAATGCGTGCACGTACCAGGCTACCAAAGATGTCAGATATGAATTGAGTTGGGCCCCACATGTCGAGTCTAATCTTAAGTATAAGTATATGTACAGGGGCAATAGCTTATTTGTGTACCTCTCTTTGCAATTGTTTAAAAAGTGTTGATGCACACTGAGTAATTTTAAGACATGGTCAAATAGATTTGTAAGTACTGCTCGATGACATGTATTCTTATTGAAGAGATCAGTATTGCTGGGTTCATGAATCCATCGCTGTAAGTGAACTAGGTAGACTTGATGAAACGCGGTGAGATCCTGAACGAATTGGCTCTCTAATTGGTATATCTGATCTACATCATGTTTTTTCTGTGCTACGTTTCTGGCTACATCTGCTACTTGTCGCTCTATCCCGATTTTAAATATAGGTAAATACACTGTGAACTATATATATGCTGTTGTTTTTTAGTTTACCATAGATATCCTCTTCTATCTCGTCAGGTTGGAAGGATTGGTAAAGATCATCAATAATGGCTAAATCATCTATTAATTGATAATAATGAGCAGAGCCATCTTGAAGAATAGAAAGCTGATCAATGGATTGGCTGTATGGAAGTGTTAAATCTGTAGACAATGTTTCCAATGACTGAAAACTATCTTCTCCTCCACTACTCGATGTTATGATGCTGCTAGTAGCCGACCGCATTGATGGTTGTCTCCAGAGATTACTTGCCGTATTTGGCCTTTCCTCCAAACTAGAAAAACTCATAAAGAAGAAGAAAAAGAGAATATTTCTGGTGCGAAAATATACTTTAAATAAGGTTGCTGTCGTTACACTTGTAATTCTTATTTATCTTGTAATTCTTGAATGAGAGAGTGGTAGGGAAAACCTACATTTGGATCATGTGAGACAAAAGAAACAAGGGTGCCTAATCGAGAAAGAAAAGACACGTTAAGAAAGTGGTACATGGAAGATAAGTCCTTAAACTAGCAACCCAAAAAAACTGATTATCAAGCAAATTGCCTTTACAAGTTCACTATTTCCTTTATTTCTTCTAGTCATCAACCTATTTCTCAGTTCTTGTATTACTTTTTATCTTGTTTTATTGAGAAACGTAATTTGTCACCATGGAATCGCTATCTAAAACAGTCATTTATTCTCATTTGTCGTCTTTCCGAAGGTTGGTGACCTCTATGGTAACCCCAATCATACCCGAAGATGAGACTGTACACACTCTTTATTAAATTTATGCTCTATTCTTCTCTAAATGATGCTCTTGGACGCGTACATGCGCGCTCAAGCATTTAAACGCCTTAAACCTCTTCTTCTGCTGCATTGACCTATCTCGGAGTTTGAAATAGATCAGGCAGATAGGTAAGCGCTTTTTCGACGCAATTCCGTGGTATTTTGCACCAACTTTTTTGCCAAGGGCAACTTCGATTAGGTTCATATCTTTTTAAAAGTATATAGAATTTATCACTATAAATTTTCACTAGAGTCTAAGAAGAGGTCCATTCTTTGTTACAACTGCCATAAAAGTTCTTTAAACTTTTGTTTACACAATTCAATCGATGAGTCTGTTTAGAAAAAGAAGAAAAAAGAGAGAGAAGGGTAACATTACACTTACTCGCTATGAGCACCTCTATTGTTGTAAGCAACAGCCTCTTGTATTCAAGCTGAACTAAGCTCACATGATCTGTGTAGATAGTTCCGACGCTATTTTCCCCCTTTTCTGCTTCCTTCTCTCATTTTTTTTTTGCATAAATTACCTATTCCTTTCGTGTATATGCAAAAACTACTATTTAGTTCTGAATTTCTTGCATCTGGACACAGTAATGAATTCAGAGAATTTATAACAAGAATCATTCAATCCAAGAGCAAAGCAGTAATGACACACCAGAATGGGAAGGAATGAAGTAAATTAATGATTTATAGGAAGAGAAAAGTCATGTTCAAGAAGAATTAACACAACTAGCACCTAAACTAAGCTCGCCTGATACAGCTTCTGTAATTAACTTGTCTGAAAAGCGTACGATTATTGATATGTATTTCATAGTTTAAAATGAGAGAATACTTGATTCGATTGATACACTGCTTTATGCTCGGGTATTCGGTTGACTTTGGAATTATCTATGCCATCATGGCAACTCAAAGTGGAGAAAGTGCACTTGATAAGCGTGTTGGTAAGATATGTCTCCATCATGTCTTTATTTGTTCTTACATTAGAAAGGATATCTGGCGTGTACCTTGTTCCTTGAAAAGGACCACGAGCTCTGCATCATGATGATTAATACCTTACAAAAAGACTTGAAAAGCCAAAACGAGTTAGATCAATGCGCGGCACTAAATGCGATTTGTTATCTGCGACATCCTGAGATAGCTGACAACGTGTTTGATTTGGTGATAAAGGCAGCGACAGAAGTACCAAAGTAAATATTCTAAAATAAGAGAGTCATAATTTTAACTTGCTTTCATTTGTAGACAGGCTGTTCGTAAGAAGGCTGTTGCAGCACTGTATTTTCTGTACGAAGCATATGGCCTGTCAGAAGAGCATGTCATGTCTACTCTGCGTCAAGCATTGAATGACCCAGATCAAAGTGTTGTATTTGCTGCCTTGGCTGTCTGGAAGAACATTCTTCAGACGCGTGCTATAGACTTTATTGATCTTTTGCCTCAATTCTATACAATTCATCGGTATATCCTGGATACAAAAGTGCACAAATCATTTGCCTATCATGGTGTTTTGGCGCCCTGGGCGCAGCTTGATTGTTTATCCATCTACGAGTCGTATGCGAGACATGAGATAGGGTATGGAAGATATCTAATATATCGCATCCATATTTATCATTCTAGGAAACAGTTCAGATAAGGACATGTTTGATATTGTCATGTCATGTCTTAAGTCGGTCGAAAAAAAAGTGGACGCTGCATTTGGTAAGTGATTCGATAAGCTATCTACGAGCTGATATTGATGGCAATGTAGCTATCGTGCTGGAATGTACAAAATTACTTGGCATGATAGATCCTTTATCAATAACGGCGTTATCAGAAGAAGAAGAATGTATTTTTGATTACCTTGATCCATTTCTGCAGTCAAGGAATCATAATCTCAGGTACTTGGGTTTACTTGGGTTATCTTATTTGGACAGTAGCCTCTGGAAGCCAGACTGGTTAGATGGCACCTTGCTCGGGGCCATTATTCTTGCAGCTATTGATAATGACATGATTATTCAAAAGGTACATAAAAATTGACTCTTTTCTTTTACTTACACACCTTAGGCACTCGAGCTCTTGGACAGAGTCATGAGTCTAGATACTCTCAAAAAGATCAGCTCCAGCCTGCTGGAAGCTCTATCCCGAGCGGACAACAAATCAAGCTTGGCGTATTGGTTTATAGGTAGCTTAAACAACTACCACATTGATCCTGATAAGTGGTACATTGATACATTAATGCAAGTCATGAGGCATGCGCGAGAAGAACTTGACGAAGACTTTGTGGCAATTCAGTGTGATACGATAAAAGCAGGTAAAGACGTTCGGATGAGACATTGCAGACATTGCATATAACTTTAATAGTGTTGAATGACGAAATGACAAGCATAAGTCTGAAAGAGACTGTAGTTGATGCATCTACTGGGTTACTCAGAATGGCGGGTAGTTACTCTTCCTCGCTGATTCGACTCTGCTTTTGGGTACCTTTATTTTTTAAAAAAAAAGGAAAAAGTGGCCCGTACCATTTCATGTTTGATTTATATTTCTAAAAATAGGTACTAGGAGAATATGGATACTTATCTAACAAGTACACAGAAATAGATAGAATGAAGCAGATTCACAGACGGATGATGAAAGTGGAAGGTTACTTTTAGATTTGATGGTCGCGTGTTGTTTTTACTAAAAAAAAAAAGGGAAATATAGACGATGAAACACATATTACGGGCTTAATCGCTGTTAAACAGTGCATGTTACGCAGTCAAACTTGGACTTCCACTCTTGAAAGCTTATTCAAGGTGTACGAAACCTCGCCTGTGCCTGAGAAAGCACAAGTAAGAAGATAACTTCTTATTTTTCTTTTTCACTTACTCTTGTAAAGCTGAGCCGAGAGTTACTCGACTGGACAAAGGATGATCGATTTAAAAAAGTGGGCGTGGAAATAGAGCCTTTGGTGGTAAGAAAGATGTCATGTTCCGGGTTACTCAAATTAAAGATGAGAACTAGTACTCTACCAATCCCAGCAGACCTTATACTTCAGTCACTCGGTTTCCTATAAATAAGTCGGGTAAGTATAAGGATGCATTATGAAACTTGTTAACTTTTTATAGATGATGAGCACATCATCAAACAATATCCTCAAGGTCTGTTTCAACCAAGCAAGCAGAGCAGGTACAAAGTCCAAAAAAAAGTATTTGGTAATGATTGCCTAAATTCTCACACAGTGCTATCCCAAAGTTTGTACCAAATGAAACCACAACACAAGGTAAAATGCGCGCCCATCCCTTTCTTGTGCAACTCACGTAACAATAAACAGATGTAGGATAAAAAGAAAAGAAAAAGATGAATATACTCAATTTTGGAATAGCTCGTGTCTAGTTTGATCGAAATGGATTTACAAAGTATTACAACGGAAGAATTTGGTGAACTTTGGGTGAATTATGAGATTGAAGTTAAAAAGAAAGTTCAGTGTTCGATTCAACAATGTGACAAATTAGCAGAAAAGTTAAGTAAAAGTTGGAGTATTGACATCGTTCAAGTGATTGGTCAAGAGTTTATAGCCTTTGATCCATATCAACCGGCTGTCTTGATTCACGTTTATCTGATGCCACTTGACCAACAATTTGAACTAACGATAAGGGCAAAGAATGATGTGAATGAAATTACACAGTTTTTATCCAAAAGAAATATAAAATAATAATAATAAAGAGAGAAATATAAAAATAACTATATGAAAAAAAGTCACTTGCATGCACACTAAAAGAGAGTATACCTCAACTTACTTTATATTACAGTTTCATCTGTATCAGGTGCATTTAAACAGGACTGAATAAGATTTTTACCCTCTGGTTTTGTAACAAGTGGTTGAAGTTTGGGTGTAGTAAATGTATAAACAAGACCCGTTTCAGAGACGACTAATAGCAACACTTGAGTACCAGTTAATGTACTAAGTTCATATGCCTATAAAGATGTATATAAGTAAAATAATAATTTGATAGTTTATTTTTATTACTTTTTTCATGATGCCAGCTTTTCTTTTTGAAAAAGTAATGTGGCGTCTTGTCTTATCTTCAATATATTCAATCTTTATCTTACGACGACCTGAACGTTTCGCTGGCTTTTTCTCATCCTCATCCTCATCTTCGTCAAGATCTTCAGGATTGTCTAAATGACCATTGTCCATAATGACTTGACCTAATTGGGGAAGTTGTTGTTGTTGTTGTTGTTGTTGTTGAGATTGAGGTTGCTGCGGCTGTTGTTGTTGCTGTGGCGGTGGTTGCCTAAGGATACCGGGTAAAAGAGAATTATTTGGTTGTTGAACCATATAGGTTGGCTGACTTGAGTAATAACCAGTAGATTGCATATTAGACTTTTTTATTTTCAGGGAAAGAGAAAAGGAAAAAAAAAGGACAATGCTTTTACTTTAATTGGGAAAAAAAATTGGTTAAAGTTCAGTTTGAATTTATTATTTTTATTCTTTATAAGAAGAATAGATAGTTTTTAGGATATGCATATTTCTCTTATTTAGATGAATGAATTCCTTAAACTTTATTTGATTCTTATTCTATCACACTTACTCTCTCTCTCTCTTATTTTATCAATTCATGTTATTATCTTTGTAGACGGAATGCGTAGGGCTTGATGACCGCTCATTTTAGACAAGTTACACAAGAATTTGCATAAATAATCATTCTTTATTATTGATAGGTTCATGGTAATACTGTTGTGATTGCTGTTGCTGTTGCTGTTGTTGCTGCTGCTGCTGTATTTCTTTTGGAGGTTCAGTTGTTTCTCTGACAACGTAGGCATTAGAAGGATAAAAAGGATACCCATAAACATATGGATAGCCTGGCATGACATAAGGTATTGAATAAGGGTCCATTATATAAGCTATAGAATAAAATATATAAAAAATAAGCACTCCTTGTTTACGATATGGCACCATATTGTTATTTATTACCTGCATTACTACCATTAATGCCACCAGCACCATTGCTACTATGACTACTAAAACTGGGTTACCTATGAGACCATCTGCTGCTCTCTAAATTTATGCAACCCTCTCTCTTTCCCTTTTCTCTATTATTGATGTTGTCATCATTATTACCTTGGATACCTCTGCCGATTCCTTGGATCACCTTTAACAGATGTTCCGTCGGGTCCAGTTACATTGGCAGCCTGCATTCCTTTAGGCCCTCTGATTATATCATATTCAACCTGATAAATAATCTTCATTTCATATGTTCTTATCTATAAATATATCCCTTTGATTTTACCTCTTCACCCTAAATTTTATAAATATCACATTAACGTATACACCTATTGACTTACCTCTGCTAAACTTTTAAACCCGCCATCATTATGAATGGCTGTATGATGTACAAATACCTCTATATTAAAACGTCAATAACTGTATATATTTTTCAAACCATGAAATAACCTTCTTTTTCCTCTTGATTGTCTGGTAGAATAAAACCGTATCCTTTTATTGAATTGAAAAATTTAACATGTCCTTTACGTCGGCTGGTCATGGATCACTTCTTCTTTTTTCTTCTATATAAACTTTGGGCAAAAAAAAAGCGAAAAAAAAAGAATGAAACCTACGCTTTAATTATCAATGGCCTTTAATCTTTTTTTTCTCACAAAAAGTCACCCTGTATAGGTTCATTTTGCTTTACCCTTTTTTTTTATAGACATTATAGAAGGTATTACGATGTATTTGGAAGCCTTGTATTAAGCAGCTGAACTTTTAGATGAAATAAGTTCATTGTTCAACAGACTAAACGTTAAAGTGGCCGTTGCCACCTTAGCTATTTATAGCTGACATTGAATTTTAAATCATGCAAGTGAGATCTCTCCTTCTCGTTATTTTCTCTCGGATGCCATAGAATAACATTTTTCTTCTTTAGGTGCTAAAATAGCCTTAATTAATTCTCCCTCATTTAGGAATTACAAAACTTGATCCCTTAAAATTAACTTGCAACTGACATGCATCATCCAGGAATGTCTGCTTTCATCTGGTTTTATGCACATACCACTTATTGTCTGTTTCAAATCCTTCTAATTTTTTTCTTTTAAGGAGCTTGTGAATGCTTAAGCGTGTTTCTTTATTTGGAAAGTTATCCCTATAAAGTATTTGTTTGTAATCGAACAAGCTTTCATTCTTAACCAGGATCCCAAGTAAAGAAAGGGGTAAAAAAGATCCCCTTCTTTGACTTATCAATGTGTAATTGTTGTTTATAATCCAATACATTTCGCGTATTTGATCTCTCTTTCTCTCTCTCCGATAAATATTTTTTCCAAGGTCACAAGCATATCCAAGAAATCTTTATTAGGCAATTTTAAGATGAATGCAAGTTATGACATAATGTAATTAGAATAGAAATAGCTGGACGATCATCGTGTCTTTATCATTCACTCATGTAAATTTTTATAGAAAGATATGAACATATCATACACAATATAGTTCTTTATGTAGTGCCGACAGCCATATATCCTTTTCTTCTTTATTTCTTGCTTTGAATACCCAGCAAGTACCTTTGGTTCCAAGATGATGACCTAGCTTGAGAAAGGAGACATGCTCTCGAAAACTAGATATAAAATGTCGTTTTGCTACTTGCCAAATGATAAAGACGCAATCTGAGGCACGATCACTGCCCGTGATCAGTCCATCAGAATAATATCGATCGGGTTCTTGTAACCTGTCAAGCTTGATAAACTGATCAAATATACACTCATCGCCTGTGTACACATACGAATCCTCCAGTCGAATAAGAGCCCTTTTCTTTTCATAGATTGGTAATGATTCTCCTCCTGATTTGCAGAAGTTTGATCTTTTAACCATGTCAAATAGGATGAGGGCACCTCCATAATTAACACTTTTGACAAGTATACAGTACTGTGGTTGATAGTGTCTGCTATAGTCTTTTTTAACATAGAGTTTTCCAGAGTGCTACATGTGCAAGTGTAAGTGATAAAGCATATTTAATGTATTTTTTCATGTGCTTACTATAATTTGGTCCATGTATTCAAAATGATACACTTCTTTATTGCTTATTTGTCTTAGCCTGCAATTAATCAGCATCACCCACTCGAGTAATGCCTGTGTGTTGGGTGCTTGGTAATAGAGCGTCGTATTTTTATGATGTACTGCAAACGTATTACTTGCATCGCATAGTTCGATGGATTTAATATTTTTGAGCTCAATTACCATTTTTGTATTCACAAGTTTTGCTGAATCGGGTGGTGATGTATAAGATAAAGAAGCTAGTTGAGGCGCTGACATGTTTAATTGCTTTATGTATTTCTTCTTTCGTAGTAAATGGGTATTTTTTAGTATTAGGTTTGTTGTTGCTGAAAACCAGTTTTTCTGTGTGGTTGTGTTTGTATAGTAATAAGCATCCAAGAAAAATAATTGGTTACCATAGAGTATCGTGTAATAGCATACACCATCCCCTTTATGCACCAAAAGACCCTCATAGATGATTTGCTAGAGCAACGATAAGTTTAATGACAAAGATCATCTTATGTGCTTACCTTTTTTATATACTTTTGTTGCAACCTTAACTCTAATCGGTGACTCTGAGTATTAAAAAAGGTTGAATGATTATCGTTCTTTATATGTATAGGTTTGCATCATACACTTACTTGTTCAATCAATTGACATCCAATCAAATGATCCGCTTCATCTACTTCTTCCACATAGTTTCCAATAGTCCAAAACAGTTTCCATTCTTTTGATACCGAATCCTTGCAAGGTATCACTTTATCAAAATACAAAAGATTTATCAATGTCGATTTTACATCTCTCAAACACATATTTTGTTCTACATAGTGCTGCTTATACATTGCCTCTCTAAAATAGTCTAGTGGAATCCGTATGAGCACATCTGATGGCTGCTTCTCATCCAACTCCACGTTGACATCAATATATAACGGGATTGGCTTTTTGCAAGTTGTATGTGGTTGATGATTGGAAATGCGGTGATAAATAAACATGTACCACTCTTTTGCCTCAGATGGTTGACAGCACTGAAAGTGATACGCAACCAGATGTTTACACTTGTACTCTAGCCGCCAAATGTAGTCCCATGGGGAAACGAGCGAGAGACGGACGGGACGAAGAGGAGGATCTGCCAGGAGATAGATGATGTGTGCTAGCCTCCTTATTGAAGTCTACACTATACGATAAGTGAGTCATTAACCGTTTATCCAAATCAACTAAAAAATTATTATGTATTACTGCTGCATGATATAATTCCAATCGATCCGGTCGTAACACTGCATAAAACCTTCTCCATCTCATCCGAGTCTTTCGAAGTTCAATCTCCTTCACTCCATTATGTCGTTTAGCGTACCATTGCTCTGTTCGCGTACAAAGTACGAGTCCCTCTTTGAGCACCTCGTCTTTTTTGAAGGGTCCCTGCATTAACCTGGTTATAGGAATCTTGGGTGCACTTTGCACTATTGTGTCATGATTGGTTATAATAATGGGTATATTTGCTGCTTTCATCTTTTAAAAAAAAGGAAGAGAGTGAGAAAAGTGGAAAAAAGGAAAAGGCATGAGTGGGCATGAACAAAAATAAACAGTAGAAATTTAACTGAGATTCAAATTTATGCTATCCCCTTTTTAGGGCAAAAAGCACTTTTTTACAACACTTCCGGAAATAGATCGCGCTTCTTCCTATGGCAGATTTGAAATTTCAATGAATGCTTCATAAAAAGGCAGAGGCGGCATATATTTTTAGATAAATAGTTGTTTATCAAGCACTATGGGATATTTTGCCTCGAAAAATGAAATAATATCTAGAGCCTTTAGTTAATGGTCCTAAGTTAAAGCTTTTCTTGTTTTTGAAATGAAAAGTTAAATTTTAGCTAATAATACCCATCTATCAGTGAAAATAGGCCTTGGGCGATAGCCTGCGTGAGGCTCTGGGAATAGGCCTAATATTCATAGCTGATAGGCCTAAGTACAATTTAGTCCAAACTCCTGCAACAAACTTTCCCAACAAGCAATAAATACAAAAAGATTATTCATGTGTAATTGTGATACATTTATATCAATGATATCCTACTGGACAGCCTTAGGTTAGGTAGAGACTTTGGTAGTATGAAGTTGTAAAGTGATGTCACAGGCAGTACCTAGAGAAAGTACTAGCCTAATTTCTGGTGTATTATTTTTGTGCGTAAACAGACAGAAAAATCAATGAATATCCGTTCCCTCCTTTTTTTTTCTCAAACTTGAATCAGAAAATAATAGATCAATCAAGGTATTCAAAGATGTCTTTGATATGGTTTTCAACGGACGCATTTGCAGTGACAATAGACGGCATCAACAGGTTAGCAAGACCTTCCAGTTCCTTATTCAAACCAACGCTGTATAATATCGGTATGCTGTCACTGTCAATGTTGTACATGGCCAAGTTGTTGCCCAAGTGCTCCTTTCCTTTACCAGTCGATCGACTTTTCCACTCCATGACGGGATTCTTGGACAGCTTGGTGCTGGTGTGATTTTTGCATACTTCCTCGGCAATTATTCCAAAGATGGATGCATAAGGACTATGACCACGATCCAGATGGTATAAGGATGGCAAACATGGTCCTTCGTTATGGGGCCCGAAGCTCGGCACAGTGTGTATGTGGCTGGCGAGTCGAAATGAGTGCGTGTTTGTCGTAACTGTTTGTGGTATTCGCGAAAAGTCGAGATGGTAATGTACAGTAAAACTGAACTAAATCCTTTATTAGTTTGAAACTTGGGTTTTATAAATACCAGTGGCTTAGTTAGTCCTTATTATAATGTAACCTAGGAGACAGGGATAGCACTGTTGCATGTGGAGATCTCAGTACTATGTTGATAATGTAGTAATGTTAATATTAGACATTATATGCAAGAATATGTTGAAGTTTATGTTCGGACACGACAAGGAGCATTATGCATGACGAGGTAATGACCTTTCATATGCGGATACTGATCCATTTCATCCATCGTGGCTTTCAAAAAGCTGACATAGTGTTCCGTAACCGTTCCTTTGCACATATGCCCAATGCCATCTCCCCGCTTTCTCTTTTTATTGGATGAAGGCCGAAGAAATCTAAGATTGCATTTGATTAGACCTTTAGCAGAAATCGCGCCTAAAATGGTTGTTGTTGTTGCTCGTGTTTTGGGAACTGTGACCACTGCCGGTGCACTTTTCTTTGACCATGTCATACTACGTTTCAAATTAATATGGAAAGCGGATTCGTCAAGAAGAACACAGTTTCTCATGAAATCCATGTCTGTTTTATCACATTTACGAATCCAATACAAGCGCTCTTGAGTCTTTTCCTCGCTGTTCCGATCTATGAGCTGAAGCCGAGCTTTTTTGAGAGACAAGTTGCAATGTTCTTTTACAAAATCACACAAAGTACTTTTAGGCTCTTTTAATTCTCTGAATATTTCCTTTAACCTTTTCATTACTTCGCCTAGGACGATTGGAGGGTTCTCATCAGTACACTCGAGAATAACGCTTTTATGTTCCTCATGGAGAATACGTGGACGACCAGTCTTTCTTCGCTTCTCAAAGACACTATCAGGATCCTTCTCATGCTGTTTAGTCCATTTTTGTGCTGTACGAACATGAATCCCAAGCTGTTTTGCAGCAGCGGCCGCACTCAGACACCTCTCAAACAACAGCTTGAAAAACCTCACTTTGTCCTGATCAGAATAGCGTGTATAACTTCGCTTCACTGATGTTTCCTTCATAATAACATCACTATGAGGTTTTACCGGTTCTTTTTCCACCTGCATTGTCTCTATCACGTTCTCGCTCTCCAGAGGCAATTGAGCTAAGTATTGTGTATGAAAGCTCAGAGTTCCAAGACGAAACTGCTCCTCATCGACTATATAATCCATTAGCTCATGTCTACCATATTCGTCGACAACAGAACCTTTTCCATTTTCAAACAAGAATTGAACATTCATTATTTGTGATTTCTGGTGTAGTTGTGAAAAAGAAATAAAGCGAAGACGAGAGCGTTTGATGTGTTTTTATATATCCAAAGGTGTCAAGCCTTGTCCTACAAAGCATTCTTGATAGCAGAGTATCTGATTTGTCAGCGAACACGAATGCTGCTCTTGCCATCAGGTGAATTGATCTTTCCACCAGGACGAATTTATTTTTCGTGCAACCTGAATTTGTTCTCGCCATTGAGAGAATCTACTTTCAGGAAAGAGTATATACATCGACATTCACAGGAAATTTAAAGCGGTGACTGTGAAGTCCTTCGAAAATAGCATTCCACTATCGCGAATACTTCATATTGCTGTATTCTGTAACCGAGAGTCTACTGTATCCTTTGATAAATAAGTTTAATAATCTTCAGTCGATTTAGTTGACCATAAGGCTTCATTTTTGAAAATATCCTTTATTTGTCTATCTTTCTTATACACATCATTGTTTATTGTTATGCTTCATGCAGTGTATTTTAGTGTGTAGTATTTTGTTAATGAGAATTTACCAAAAGAGCCCCATTTTGAAGTGTGTTCGGACGGTTACTCTGGGCAAAAAAATAAATATACATGCACGTATATATATTTTATCAAGAGATAGCTCGTTTAACTTACAAGAGTAGTAGTTACTCTCTTTGCTTCCGTATGCATGATGTTTGGATCATCAGTATGTTGTATTCGAGTATGCCTCTGGATTAATAGAATGATAAAGGCGTTTTCTTTGCTAAAACTCGGCCGTAGTCCTATATTTAAATCAACAAAGTATAGAAAGACAAGTTTACTATCAGATCACAGGAACATGATCATCACTTGTGTTTTTGTAGATTAAAAGCAAATATTTCTCTTTCTAGTCATTTACGCCACTTTCTCTATTTAAAATAGAATGTAAAAATTTATCCGTAGCATCTTTGTTTGGTAAAATATGCCTCAATTCGGAATACACAAAGTTTCGGTTAAGCCACATTACAAAAAAGAAGAAGGGGGGATTGCATCACTTGAAACAAAAGTATACATATGATCGTGTTCAAATAACTTGGTCCATACCATAAAAAAAAGAGCAATGCCCCTTTTTATCAGCAAATATTCATCTTATTGTATTTTATAAAGATAAGTGAAAAATCAAGTCGTGTGGCGCGCATTGAGTAATTTAACTTATGACCTGGTGTAACTCGGAAAAAGGGCAAACTTGCCAAGCCCTTGAACTGAAATTAAAACTGTTTTTTTTTGGCCACTGTATGAATTTGGTTGGCCGGAGAACAATTTTTGCGGAACAAGATAAAAAAAAATAACCATTTTTATATATTTAAGCTTTTTTTATACTTGTTTTCATACTTTCTTTTCTTTTCTTTTATTTTTAATTATGAGTGTTCCAGAGAAAGAGGCAACATGTCCAACTGAGCCTGGTTTGGCTTCTTTGTCAGGATTGTATGTTTTCGAATTGAAGGAAAAACAACGATACTAACTGTCTGTGTAGTAACCCAGGATTAGATTGGGCTTCTGTAAGAGAAGATCCGACAGCTAACTGGCATGTTATCGGGTGGCTAGTTTGTTTACTCTTCTTATTCATAACATGGACTATAACGTTGATAACTCTATTTAGACATATACGAAATTATTAGTATGCGCATATCCCTCATTCTTATTGCCCTGTTTCTCTAATATATCTTTTTTTAGTAATCCTGAAATACAACGGCATAAACTACGAGTGATACTGTTTCCGCCTGTATACGCAACATTAGCATGGTTTGCTTATTTGCGATACGATTATTCAACAACCATCATGTTCTTCGCGGAATGCTTTGAAGCCTTTGCCGTCTATAACCTGTATACATGCTTACAAGCTTATCTTCAGCCATTTAGAGAGGAGGCAGCTGGAATTAAAGAGCCAAAAGATACAAAAATCATGTTTTTTTATAACTTTCATTTGTAAGATAATTCTTATAAACATCTCTTTACAGCCACGACTAATCTTGTACAAAACAGGAACTCAAAATGGGGAATGCATTATAGAATCATTACTGATATTCTAGTTTTCCAATACCCAGTCTGGTAAGTCATACAGTCAACGGCAAAACGCAAAAAAAAGCTAAAAATTTAATTTTCAGGTCACTCATTGATGCATTCATGTCTATTTTTGCTGAACTCAAAGGGCGCTATTGTGAAGGTGTCTATAGCTTTAAGGGCGCCTATGTCTACTTGACCATAATCAACTTTGTTTCTCTTTCGGTCATTCTTACTGCATTGTTCACGTACTTGGACGTATTTCACGAACAGTGGAAGCGAGGAAAGATTCGAGCACATGGCATGTTTTGGTGTGTGAAGGGTCCTATCATGGTCATCTTTTACTTTGGTGAAATCCTTCTGACTATCCTTACCACTAAAAATGTTATCAAGGGCACAGATGGCTCTCACGGAAGCATTGCTTGGCCAGCCGATGCTGTCAAAAATGGACTTCACGTTATTATCGTGTGCCTTGTGATGCTTGTCGTTAGTGGCATGATGTTTAAATTTTTTGGTCCAGCCGATGAGATTCAAGCTGCTGCTGCTGCAGGAGAAAAGAAAAAGATGGGTGTCTTTGGTGCATTTGTGGATGGATACCTTGCTTATATACCCGAATTTTTGTACAAGACATTATGTTGTGGTGTTGATTCCTATAAACTGATGAAGAAGCGTCGAGAATTGAAAAAGAGAAAACAGCAAATGGGTCTTAATGGCAGTTCTGTCCTCAATACAGATACAAATGGACTGCTTAAAGATGATCCTATGCAATATAATATGCATGAAGTAAGAGCTTCTACACATGCATAACATTATTATATATCATTCAATGGATCATTATCACTACTTTGTATATTACTCTTTAACCGTAATCCTTACACATTATCATGATAAAGCGTTTCTATTTTATTTATTTTACAACTTTTTACAATACAAGAATGCCGGGTATTTTTACATCTTGAAGTCTATAAATGCTTAAGTGGCAAATGAGCCTTACCAAACATGTTTATGACGAATCTTTCGATGATGCTTTTAGTCAAATTATAATAGTGTGAATTGACTGCAATTATGCTTTCACTGAGATTAGAATCCTTGGATCCATTGAACTGAGCATTGATTGATTCCTTTTGTTGTTTGAGATGTTGGAAGAGATAATTGACAGCGGATTTGATTGTACGTTCATCATAATGAATTGTAAATTCTCCACAATGTCGAACCATTTCTTGGTAAATATTGGTTTCCAAAAATCGTATGTAACTACTCTCGAGTAGAATGTATACGGACGCTTTGGCTTCGACAAAAATAGTGTTTGCATTAAAGTCACTGATGGCTAATAACTGGTTTGTAATGTTGCGCTTAACTTTGTCATCTAGATTGATTTGCAATTGAGCACTATTAGATATATAAGTACCATAGATTCGCTCAGCCATCGTCTTCAGTTCCCCAACAGTGCTTATTCTTCGGTGCTCATCAAATCGCTCCACTTCCAAAAAGAACAACTATATACAAACATGTGTCGTTAGATCACATTTAATTCTCGACACACACACAAAAAAAAAAGAAGCCCATACCAAATTTTCCGAGCTGAACTCGTCTAATAGGTAGTATAAGAAATAGCAAAGTGGGACTTTGGATTCCAATATCGCCTTTAATCCTTCCTTTTTAATTTCACTAATGCAAACATCTACGGGCGTAGGCTCTCCAAAGAAGCAATTTAACTTTTGTGATGATTTAACGATTTTTTTCTTGTATGAATCATGTACATCCACGACAAGAGGTGTATGTTCTTCATCAATGGTTGCTGTAGCCAAAGAGGTAATGGCTGCTGCTAGACTAGCTCGTCTTGAAGGTGGTTTGATCGCTTCCTCTGCTAAGGATGATCTCCTTGATTTTGATATTGATTTTCTGGTTCTTGTTGACAATATGATGTCACTGCCGCTACTCGAGCTATGTACGGATGCTCTGCGTACCTTTGACATTAAAACTTTTTGGAAACAAAAAGGAACAAAAAAGTTTTAACTGTCAAAAATTTTAATTAATAAATCAGAAACAAGCCCAATCAATGCTAACTTTATACTCAGTCCGAGATTGTTACTCTTTTAGGGTATTTTTGTATGACGGACCTTACCAAATTAGTTTGTGCCTTATCAGATAAAGTGATTGGCTGATTGGACATATGCACTTCATTTTAATTCAATGACAAAAGTTTCATAATTTGTACTTTAAGGTAACCATACCAACATAATTAAAAAGAGACCAGAGACAATCATGTTATCTAGGTTTCGGAAAAGAGAGAAAGCAAAGGATACCTGGTTGAATGTGCAATACGCTACTAAACAAGCTTTTGATGATTGGAATATTGACTGATATTGTTTTGATTAAAAATAAAATAATTTTCTTATGGTCAGGATAGTCTCTATGTTGATATTGCTGAGAGTTCATTTGGCTTTTGCGGCTGAGAACGATAAAATAAGCGCCGCATACATGGTAAGAATGGCCATTTGTTTGCTTACGCATGACGATGATCTGCAAATTCAGGGTTAATTGTGTTGTGCTCACTACCCTTACATTATTTATTCCCGAGAAAATAGCTTATGATGCTGATAGCTTCTTTAGATCTATTCTTATAAATAACAATTCCTATTTGTCATTGCAGATATATCTAGCGTATATTAATTAATCTGAAGAAGCAGCTTTTTACAAATAGTAGCTTTATTCACCTATTTACTTATATTGATTTGCTGCAGCTTATTTAGTTCGTATCACTTTTTTCAGTACATTGATTACGGATGCTTGCCAATAATTTCGGAAAATCGTCTCCTTTGTTAGAATGAGGAAAAGGAATGGGCGGAACGGGTACACTAAGAAAGTCGCAGAGTTTTTCCCAGCCTTCACCCAACTGCATGATGAGTAAGTTTTCGGGCTTGACAGTCTTTTTGATATGTTCGATATGATTCAAGAACTTTTGAATGAGCTTTTCTTTTCGTTCTTGCAAGTTTGCGCCTCCTAATTCTCCATCACGAACAACCACCCGTGCCATTTTCCTTGCACGTAAAATCTGCTGTGGCCACGTTTCGTCTACACCAGGCCATTCATGAATCGTTTTGGATATTGATGCAAACCATACCTCAGGGTCTCTAATTGTCAATATAACCTTTGCATCTGGATACACTGCATACAGCTTATCAAAAAAGGCTGCTGTTGGCCAATCTACAGCCGCGTTATAACCATGGTAAGCTCGTTCCCAGTTCACTGGTTGATTTGGATACTTGTACGCGCTTTCGAATATCTCAGGTACTTGTTCAGGATCCAGCAAAATGTTTTCCATATGATGCGTACGATATCTATTTCTTTGTAAGTTCCAAGGCGTTCCTAATTTGCTTCTCTTACCCTAAATAATTCAAAGCATCTCGTAAACTCATTGTACCTGTACGGCCGAATCCTGCACCGATGATTTCTAAAGGAGCCATGATGTAAAGCTTTAATGTAAGAAAGAAAGAAAGAAAGAAAAAAGCTATGCTTTGTTCCAATTTATAGCTCAAAAGCAGGGAGCAGCAAAACAATAAAGCTACAGAATCAAACACTTTTTATTTTCCTTCTTATGTGTTTTGTCATTAGCTGATAGTCCATCACGCGCTTGCTTGATCTGACGAGCAACTGAGTAAAATGCTCTTTCTACATTAGCACAAGTCTTTGCGGAGGTTTCGATAAAATCACAATGGAGCTCATGCGCTTTTGTAAAGCCTTCTTCTCTTGAGACTTCTCTTTCTATGATTTTATCACATTTGTTTCCCACAAGTATCAGTGGTATTGACTCTACTTCTTTGATGCGAACTATTTGCTGTTTAAATTTATTGGCCGTCTCAAAGGTTGATCGAGATGTAATCGAATACACTATCAGAAATCCTTCACCGTCTCGTATCCATTGATCACGCAGAGCTGTATATTCCTCTATTTTTTTTTTT